GAACCAAGGCTCATAATATCCTAAATTCTTGTGATTTTTTCTAATGTTTTGTTTTTTTAAATTAATTATCGTCTTACTACAAAATTTTGCTACCCCAAACTCTTCTTACATATTCTTTAATCTGCTATCTGTTCTTATCACCTCTAAACCATATGTTGTCTGGCCAGTACATTATAACTTACATCGTTAGCTAACTTTATAGCAGTGTTATGTAAAAAAAATGCGGATCTAATCCACGATGCGGAAGCTTTAGCCATCTGATTCGTGGAACTAGTATAGTGAATAACACCAGTGGAGGCAACCAAATATATTCAAACACAAAATTACAATATCTCTTGATAAAATCTGAGAACCATACTGTAAACACTTCATTTGAAAAATGTCAATCAATCGTCTCAGACTTCATTGTTTCTTCATTTCCACACTTATCATTCTATGTTCTCGTTGACGTTTTCTCGATCTTCTTAACCACGAACTTCACTCTCGATTGATGATACATACCATTCATATCTGTCGATATCGGTAGCACACACCACACTAGTAGAGACAGTATTTTCCAACAAGATGTGCAACTTAGGTCTTAGATTGAAGCAATATTCACACACACCACAAACACAAGAGGGTCTAACATCACAATGGGAGGGAGGGCGACGAAACTGACCAGCAAACATGGTGGTAGGGGGTAACTCACGTTTGTAAAGCAGAACATTTTTGGCAAGATTACAACTTATGGACGACTCAGTCAGATTTAGGATAACAGGTCTTGGATTTTGGCGCGAAATTAACTCACCCATTTGGTCAAATAGCGTATTGGCATTTTAGCTGATGACAGTCCGTCACGATAACATCGTAGCTGCTAAACATAAATGAACATGACCAGTTATTAGTATATCTTCGGAGCTCTTCGCTTTTGACTTTTGATTTCACTGAACTGGCATGTTTCGATTATAGGTGTTACTGGTTTAGGTGTTGTTGATTTCTGAATGCTCTTAGCAGCTTTAAGATTATTCCTGTTGAGCTGAAAGAAGATAAGAGGTTATCTGATGATGGAATATCACATATCAGGTATTCCAGGTCATTCCAACGCGAGTACCCTGTCAATAAATCAGGACCACATCGGTCGACGCGACCGTTGGATGACTGCACATCAATTAACGAAAATCCAGGTATGCTCCCATTTTTTATAATTAAGAGTCGTCCCCACGTAGAACACTTTTACCTCTGTAATGTCCACAACTTCCTCTGTGTATAGCTTCAAGAAGTGGCTTTACAGGGACATACGCAATGATTATCATCGCAAGTTTGGACCAGCTTTGGTTGATGCAAGTCCGATGTTATAATTACTACTCACCACTTACTGCTTCCCACTTCGCTTATTATCAACCCCATTTCCCTTTTAACTCTTACACGTTGGTCTTCCCGCATAATGTCGATTATCGATCAATGAACTCATCTATTTATTAACTTCTTGAAACAATCGTCTTCTCTCAGCACTGGAATTATAAGTTCATTATTTATCACAGTGAAAAGGACCAAGCTCCTGCTTGTTGACATGTTAGGCACTGGCGTCTAGAAACTCTGCTGTCATGATACAGACACAGTCAGTCGATTTACAAGATATACAAATTCACAAATAGATGCCACACTAACTAGGATAAGTGAAGTCGAGTGACTAAACTATCGCCCATTGAACATTACCGAATACCCGGATCCTTGCCGAAACAGCAATAAGCAACCTCAAAGAAATCAATTCTCTTGCACATGATCGTGGCAAAGATATTGGATTTAGGAGAACTGATATGAATGATGAGATTGTGTTGTGGTGACATCACTGAGGGACTAATCAAAATTAGGATAACATGACGGATTTACACCATCGGCTTCAAGTTTCTACCTAAAGGTTCTCATAATCTCAGGCATATGTTATTACTGATTTTTGTCCATTGCCTTCCATAGTAAATGCAAGTGCATTGTGTGTGCTTTCTGGGTTACCAACCGACATTTTTCTATTTTACAACATTTTCAACTCATACAACCCGGGCTACGACATTGTGCTGTTGCAAAGTATTTTTGAGCTACTTTCATGTTTCTACATTGTGAAGTGTCAGACGTTTAAATTATTCCTAAAGAATTTCGAAAGTCACTTTTTGATTCCAAAGCTAAGTAGAAAGATTTTTCATTTAGTGGTGCATGACAACGCAAAGTCCTTGAAAACTCATTAACCACGCTCTGCTAAAACGATTTCTCCACGATATCATTGGCTGCATATATATGGTGCTGCAAGCAATTAGTCAAGGCCAACGACGCAGTACCGTCTACTGACGAAGGTTACTGAGCTTTTGTAGGTCAATCTGTTGTACAACGATACGTGCGTCACCTCGACAAATCTCAAGGTTTTGTAGAAGCGGTCAATTCAAGACAACTTTGAATTTGATTTGAATTTAGGTACACTGTCTGGTAACATCCACCCGTCAAGTGATGAAAGTGATGCCATGTGGAAGACCTGCATGCTTTTTTCCAGTGGATGGTGGAATTCAGTGTGACAACTGCGATAAGTGGTATCACAATGTGTGCACCGCACTCACTCCGGCTGCATATAAAAAGTTCTGCAAGCCGCTGTCACGTTGGCTATGCAAAGAATGCTGTTCTACAAAGTCTCTGCTGATTCTTGAGGTGATTGAGCTACTGAACATAGCTATAAAATTGCCCTCAGATAAACAAACAGTAGTAGATGAATCGGATTCAGTTTTCAAGGAAATAGCGAGCGTTATCATGAACCCAGCTTTGGATTTGAGTAAGACCATCAGAGTGAACCCCATTAGAGGAACGGCTAAAATACATACAGATGCAGGCATTGTCACGTGAAAAAAGAAAAAGCATGGTGAGAAGAAACTACCTATTGACAGTACTAAGGTATGTGAATCTACGGTTTCAGTTCCAGATTCACATATCAGCGCAGAATAGATTATGGGAGAGCAAAGCCTAGGCAGTATGGATGACATAATTAAGAGATATAATAAGGTAAGTGATTAGCTCATAGTCACATCCAGAAAAAGAAAAGTAGGGAAACGGAGTGGGACATCTGTGCTTGACGCCAAATTGGTTTTCAGGAATTAAAACCCTACAGCGTGTTAAGACGGGCCTCATTGACATATCAGTCGCTTTTCATGCGTTAAGAGAACCTTCCGAAAGGGAACCAAAAGCTAGATTTGAGCACGATCTCCTGAGAAAAATTGCGCAATACATTGCAGCTCGACTAGCTATGATATTCAATATGTCACTTGACTAAAGTGTGTCACCTACAGACTGGAAGGATGCGATAGCCACTCCCATACATAAAACGGGACCATCACGACTTTCATCGAACTGCAGACCTGTCAGTCGCACCAGTGTCGTAGTTGAAATACTGGAAAGAATAGTCAAAAAGACAATAATGACATTTGTGAAAACCAACAACCTGTTAAACAACGAACAATATGGTTTCAGAAAAGGTTCATCCTACACAATAAACCTCCCAATAGCAAGAAAGCAATGGATAAAGGCTCCAGACAACGGAAAATCAGTGGATGTTGTCTACATGGACTTTAGCAAAGCATTTGATAAGGTGCTATTACAGCTGGAAAATCTCGTCATTGCCAGAGCTCTACTAAAATGGCTTAAGGATTTCGTAGTAGGTCATAGACAGAAAGTAAGAATAAGTTCAAATTACACCTCCTGAAAACCAGTACCTAGTGGGGTACCGCAAGAATCTGTCTTAGGTCCTTCACTTTTATACTGTATGTGGATGATCCCTCAAGTATAGTGGAGTCCTAAATGTTGATATACGCTGACGATGTGAAAATCTGGTGAGAAATACCAGGATACACAGATGCGTGCACACTTCGGGCAGACTTGCATATTTGATTAGCTGGTCTAAAACGCGACTGACGCCTATCAACGAGGCACGGTGCGTCTACATGCACTTCGGGGATATAAAAGTTAACAGTCACAGCATAGCGGAAGTGCACTATCCGTGGTCTGGTCTTACAACAATTTTGGGGTGATGGTGAGTCATGATCTTAAGACCACAGCCCATTGCCGGGAGATTGCAGCTAAGGGGTTTGGAAGCCTACGGGCTTTAATACGGACATTTTTCGTGTCAGTAGGCAACCCTCGTTCTTTTGATAAAAGAAACCAGACTAGTAGAGAAAAGTTCTTCATTTAGATCTTTGTGCAGTCACAGTGGAAAGTGGGATTACCTATTCAAACACACAAATGTTTTCAACGTCCAACACAAGATAATAGGAAAAATAATGTCTATACAAATTAAGGAAGTGAATGAATACTTGAGCTCTATTGTTTTGACATATACTTGATCGTTCGAGGTCGATTCTTAACTAATAAACCTAAGCTGTTACACATTCACCAAGTTAAATACTGCCATACTCACTACGGTATACTCAACCTTAGTGAGAACTGAACTTGAGAACTGCGTTCAGGCTGCAAGCCCCTGTTTAAAAGGTGACTTGGATATCCTGGACAAAGTGCAGAGGGCAGCTACCCATGCAATTCCAGAACTCCGGAGTTTACCATACCAAGAGCGGCCTGAAAAGCTAGAGCTCTTTACTCTGTCCTATGCCAAGTTAAGAGGTGGTTTTATCTTGATGTATAGATTACTAAGAAATGATTTTGGGCCTAACATACCCTCTCTTTTCCTTCACACTAGATCGAGACATCTCAGAGGACATAGCAGGCGAGTAGCAAGGCCTAGAACGAATGAAATACTCGTGGCATACAGGTGTACACACTGAGTCATCAGTTCTTGGAACCTGTTACATGAAGCATTGGTGTCTGCACCTTCACTTGACTCACTCAAGAGAAGACTGGGCACTCACAGAAGCATACTAAAAAAGGAATAACATAGACCATAGACCGTTTATCCTTACTACACGAATCTGAATCTGAACTGTCGCATCTGTATAACTGTACTAGCTGTCGAAGTGACGCACCAATCTTTTTACGACGGTTTGACCTTCAAGTGCTCAGTAACCTCCAAAATGGACAATGTCACTGGGTTGCTACTGTGGTTTTACATCGCTCATCATTGAGATTAGATATATCTGACGTAAGCATGCTAGAACGAATGCAGCGACCGTAAATAGTAATAGGAGCAAAAAATCGAGAAAACACAAATAACGTCGAAAAGTTGTGCTAACACTTAAAGCGTCGCACAAGTTACTGAATCTCGAGATGCCATAAGAATGCCGATCAGCACACTTAAGGATTCAGTACTTCAGCAACACAAAAATGCTAGCAAAAAAACAGAATAAAACAAGTCATGCATCACTGCTTACAAAGATCGTAGAAATGATAGTTCCCGCTTAATCCTGACTGATTGACAAGTAGTTTGCCAAAATTACGAACCGGAGTTGAGGTTATTTCCATTCTGTATTTTTTTGTTGTTGCTAATTTTTGCCGATTGCGTTTATTATTGAATGCAAGTGAATAACATGAACCTAATGGGTTGTTTACTCAGTTCGCTTATATTTACCTCTCTCAGACTCACACCTTGCTTCTTACTCTTCCCAAAATATAACTTATTTATAGGTTCGATACAAACCTAAAGAGGGTTGAACGTTACGTTTCCGAATGGTTTATAATGAATATACTCTGTAAATAATTTTTCTGACATGGATTAACTTATAGTTTCATAACGCCAGATCACTACTTCATAAATGCATTAGGGTCGAAAGCCTTCATCATAATTGACAGAGTGTCACAAGAACTGAAAGTTGAATGTTAGTTTCTTCATATTAAAACGTATTTTCGTAGTTGAAGAACCGGCCATCCCAAGCGTAGCAAAAAAGCATACAATCTATGGAATATGGGGGGTTGTACGTCTAGTTTCGGGTAGGTTTCAAGTGTTTGTTTCATATCCGTCCAAACTAGGGTTTTATTTGATAGTAATTAAAGAACGTGAGCGAGTCGGTGAGATATTCGGGAACACTATTCTAAAAATAACCAAGAGCATCATATTACCATTTGCAAGGTCTTTACTTCATTTGACAGATATTCAGGTAAGCGAACTTAGATTTATGTGAATTGGTAGAATCAAGATGAATCTTTATATTGTCAAATGCTTAATAGTATTCTGTCGTCAGAAGGCTTTTACTACTCGAGTACCTATGACTTGAGTCACACATTGCAACGTTTATCGGATACGGACCCAAAATTCAAGGCATCCAGTATTTACGAGCGTGTAAGCATTTTGTTTTTCAATGAAACTTTTAATCAAATGTTGATTGTGTGGTTTAAGCAAATTTTCTGATTTTTTCCGCCGATAATTTATGCTAACACTAAACAGTCTTAATTGTCATATTAATTTTTGCTTACCAGAGATAGTTGGTGCAGTTTTTAAATTACGATTGATCAAACAACCCAACTGTATCTTCTACCTTGACGTGATGATGGGACTTGCATATCTTAACGATTCAGCTGATCTATATTAACTGCAACACTTGTCCCTTCAGGTTCTACTATGCGAGGCAGGTCATTTGGAAAACGGTGATACTAAAAACAGCAACTGACGTAGCCATACTGCTGACTGTTCAATGATAAGACAACAGTAGGGTATTTCCCTCAGATAGCCAGCGTCTGTTGTAATCATGCCTTCTCACAATGTAGGGGACGGACTGAAGAAGGTTGATGCTAAAAATGTCATACGTTACCATACCTCACTGATCTCCGTCTTTGGCGGTAAGGCGTTTTAAAATATGGGTTTAGAACATAAAACACCTACCACGGAAACGTCTTGCGTGGCAAGCATCGAGCAGTTGTTCCTTGGACTCTGGTAATGCTCACAGTCAATCTCTAATTTAGTTCCACTTCCAGGCACCTCATGAAGAAATATCCACACACGATGTGGGCGACCTAAAAGTAACAGCCTCTCTCATATATGTAACACCACGCGCCACGTTCACGATGACCTCTCTGTCACTTTCATATTCCTCCTGTCCCTACAATTAACCTTTATATGGATTTTTCTACATATGCTACCGATGCTAAAGACTCGAGTTCACAAAATGTTGTTTCTGTTCTCTTGCAGTCGCACTTTAAACTACATGTTGCAGTTTCCAATCTTTTAACCTTGTTGGACAGAACAACAGGGTTCGTTAGCTAGGGTTCTAAAATCTCATACTATTGATACATGTTGCGTCTCCAAAACATGAATACGGGACCCTATCATGTTCATACATCTGACCTTACCTAGCCAGTGTATAGAGCCAACACGATATACTTTCTCTGTATCTGGATATGTGGCATCAACTCGTGATATCGCTGGCGTAGGTATAGCATTAAGTTTTAAAGCTGGATAGCCACTTGACTAGATTTTTTTCGATAGCCTCTTATGTTCTGTCCGTCTCAATAGCGCAGGATTATGTTGCTTTTCGTTGTATCTGTATACATCCACTGATTACAGTTCAAACGAAGTAAAAGTTGAACTTTGTAGGCTACTTTCCATCCTCAAAAAGTTAACCGCCCAAATGTAGCATTAGTGATGGGTGATTTTAATGTCTAAGTAATTCAAGCCAAACTGAAAAACACAGATCAGTCTTCTGGCGTCCTAGCCCAATGAATAGATAATGGCAACAGTCTTCCGTAATTGTGCTTAAATAACCGATCATTCTTGACAAGCTCCAACTTTGAGCATAAGGAAAAACATCTGACATGAAAACTACCGGAATTAACTCAACGACAGACGCTAATAAACCATATCAGTATCAGTCGTCGTTTGAGAGGCTCGGTAAAAGACTGAAGTACATGTCTAGACTTTGATCATGCTCTACTGCAAGAACGCGTTTGCATGTAGCTTCCTGGATGCAGGGAATCCAAGCCAAGGGAGAATGGTGAAAAACTGGTAGATATGTTTACTTTGAGTCGTGCTCATAGGTGGTGGCATTCTTCCCACAAATGCATGCACAGAACTACATGGGTTTCACATAGCCATACTACGGAGAACCAGATCGATCACATGCACAAGTAGACGATTTGGAAGTTCTATGGAAGATGTAAGAACATAGTGAGGAGCGGATGTGCCGTTAGATTACCATCCACGGGTGGCAAAGCTAAAACTGAAGCTAATGAAGCATTACACAACTGTACTAGCAACACACTTCCTTGGAGATGCTAACAAGATCAGTTATTTCAAGATAGCTCTCAACAGCGAGCTCTAAGTCATAAAATTTACTAGATAAAGCGGAAACCACAAAATCGGAGAAGGATAAGGCATAAGTTGGACATGAAGCAGCAAAAAAAAACAGTGAAAAGGAGCGTTAGCACTATTATGTGCACATATGTTGGAGATCTGGCAGCTGCAACGAAAAAGGCTACAAGAGATACAAACATAAAGGAACTATATAATGCAACCAGATTGCAGGAAAATACAGTTGACACGAGGGACCAATCAGGAACAAAGAGTCAGAATCAATCACTGAAGTTCAAGAGCAGTAGGACAGGTGGGTAGGAAGTTTTGAGGAGTAACAATTGCGGAAGATTCATTGTTGGCGGTGTATGCCCCAATAGGAGTAACAGGCTTAAGGAAGGTATAATATATTACACGACTTAGCGCTAACATCATGTCCTAAATCATACTTAATCACCATTGGTTTAAGATCAGGGTTTTCCAAACCCTTCAGATGGATCCCCCGTATCCACCAACTCAGTTTAGGCACCTAACATTCACTTCTTATCCTCTTACTTTCGTAAACAACACCCTCGCCATCAGATAATGAGCAGGACTTTCCTGGCAGCGGTTGTAAACATTGCTATATGAAAGAAGAAAAAAAGAGCAGACAACCCATTATCGGTCCATCCACTAACTAGGGGAGTGTTCTAGTTTCTCATATAATGTGTATGTTTTATTTGTATTTCTGAAGTCACTTTGGTAATTTATCGGGTTGGTGGTAAATGTTTCATGCTTCGTGATCATTCTATTCATAAAATGACTTTTTGTGAGTACATACTCAGGGCATATGTTTTGGGTTTGACTGTTTGAAAGGTCATTACAATATAATGTGTTTAGGAATTGTTGGATGTAATTTGAACAACATATAAGCGGACAGTATTGTTTTCAGACTTAACTCCAACAGACATCAATATTTATATGGATATATAGAAATATTAAATCAATGAAGGCAGTCTATGAGTCAGTGATAACAGTGAAATAGATCACACAAGTAAACAACAAGTAAAAATGCAAATTGATAATGTGATGACAGATGTACTCGTTGTGATAAGAAAAATAAAGTCTTGAATTAATTTAGTGAAAAGTAGCTTAACGACTCGTTAACTTCATCTCGTACAGTGTAGTATGATAATTTAGGCCAACTCACATCTGTCTCCAGCTTCGGTTTGGGCACTCGGGAAAAGTATCCCAGCCCTCACATAAATCGAATGATTTATGTGGCGCATATCTATTTGGTGCCTCCTTGTACATGTTGGTTATAAATGATATAAAGTATTATTGGTTTGGTTTTCATTTTTATGGACTGATATTCTTATATAAGCTCCTATCTTAATGGGATTTTTAATTCGTTTTCCTTGAACTTTTAATATACTCATATAGGCAGATACACGGTTTACGTGGAATAAATCTCTGTTGAATGAATGGGAATCTATGCTTAATTCTACATCATCCTTCAAGCATAAGCAAACAACCGGTTGGAATCGCTTCGATTACTGTGTACCTATCATTCAAGGATATGTTGGGATAATATCATATCCAGAAAATTTGTCTGACACTCTTAAGGGAAACCTCGTGTATTCCCTCATCTCTCGTCGTAGTATACATCGAACTGGAACAAGGTTCAACGCACGTGGAGTTGACGGGGAAGGAAACTGTGCGAATACTGTAGAAACAGAACAATTGGTCGATATTTCGGGGCATAGATTTTCTTTTGTTCAGGTTTGTAGGATTTGGTAATAATCTATGTACCGTATGTTTTGGCCTTTCATGTTGTTAAAACATGAATGAAAAACTGGGATTCATTTTTATTGACCAGTCGTTTTCACCATTAGTATGTTATAACTTCATAACATTTTTTGATATAGTAGGATCAAGTGGCGATGATAAACCAGCCAGCTCTACCATGGAGGCACCAAAGATGTACCACGTTGAGATAAGCCACTCTGGTTTCCACTATACGCCACCGTCAGCACTCACACAACAATCCAAATGCCCAGACTTTTTGATTACTTCTAATGGCTCACCACATAAAGTAGATTCAGATACAAACTCATCCAAGTTTCGTAAAAGTACATTGCGTTTAGAAGATAAAAAGTACTTGCCATACCTTACAGACACTGAGTGTCGACTGATTAGGTGTTAGTTGGTATAGCTTGAGTGTCATCATATAGTATGAAAATACCATGTGCATACCCAAGGCCGAAGAGCTTTTCCCCAAGTCACAGATCTTGGTCTGGTCAGTACAAGCGCTTTTACAAAGTACTTCTACCATGGCAAATACAAGACTTCAGAACAAGTGACGAGGTATGTGTGGAACATGCTCCAACCAGCTCAGTTGCCGAGGTCCCACAGACCAATCAACGAATATACTATCTCTTCATGGTGACCTACATATCACTTCATCATTGTTTACATAATAGGTCCGCCGTACGCAAACAACTCTTAAGATTCCAGCGACCATACAGAAAATAACCCAAAAGAGACCATAGTGGAGAGTTTTCTTTCTCTCTCATAACGCTCTTAAATGGTCATGTGTTTCTAGATACCTCTAGGGAAAGTAATGTAATTTTGTCTCGATGTTCATAAGCACAAAAACTGTACGGTAACTTAATTTCTACATAAAACATTTTTTTTCAGTTTGAGTGACGTGGTACGGCCGAGAGTGGGGAGAGTCCGCTCTCCCTCTCGAAATGCTCTCACATGGCCACGCGTATATAGCCTCTGCCAGGGAAGTCCTACTCACTGCCTTCTCGTGGCGGGGTGTTTTTTTACAAAAATGAGAGGACGAAATACGAATGTCCGGCGCTTTAACCGGATTCCAAACCAATGGTGAACATGGGCTCCAGTATCCTGCAGGAACAAATGGCGTATGAACCAATTGTTGGTCACCGGCTTCCATGGGACTGCATCTCCTTACGATGCTCCACTGCCTTGTGGATCAGACCTTCAGGTCGAAGGCTCAGGGAGTGGCTCCCTAAGAAAACCACCTGCTTCGTTTTGGGCACCCGGGCAGTATCACAGCCCCCACACATATCAAATGAGATTTGTGTGGCGCATATGTATTTGGTGCCTCCTTGTACCAATATCTATGTGTTAAAATAAATAATAATCACTCTCTCTTAATAATTGAGATGGCTTAGTGTCAGCACTTTATGTTGACATTTTAAAATTAATTATACTGTTTTAAATTAAACTATCGTCAAGTGCAGATTTTTTTAAAAGCAAATTATAGCCTCCATGACTACTGTTTGATTATAATTTACCGACATTACTAATAAGCTTTTACTGTGTTAAATGAATTTGATTCTGTAATCGGATTTTGGTAGGCTTATTCACAAAAAGTGGTTAAAATCTCGGAAATTAACTAAGACTTTCCTCATTGTAGCTTAGCATATTGGTCTATAGAGTTCAAATTAGGTTACTGCCGTTTTAATTCCTATTACTAAGAATAGAAGTTCAACTTTTTTAGTATATTGTTACGTCTTTGATCTGTCTACCCATTTTGTGCAGAGGATAACTTGTCTAATCTAGATTAAGACCTTGACGCGATAGGCTGACTGGTTTAAACTTGAGGCTAGTATGCGTGAGTTCGAGATAGGTGAGAGAGACGAAAACTATTCTATCACCTGATTGATTGGCTGACAAGCACGCGAGTGAGAGAAGATAAGCCGACTGGAACACTACTCCATCTATTCCCGATTTCAGATCAGTGTTAAAAGGTACATGAATAAATGGATGACTAACCCGACCACAACGTACAATAATTAGGAAAATAAAAAAAACTGGGGATTAGCGTAGAAAATAGAGTACAAAATAATACGTTTAAATTACAATAGCCTTAGAACAAAAAGGGCTATGGCAGTGAATCATACATCAAACGAAAGCTTATGGTCTGTAGAATAGACTATGGGCAAAAATAAATGTTAATGTTTTACAAGCCTTGAATTAACTAAAATAACGTCCCGAAAAATAGCTTTCGTAATTTGTCAAGGCTTCTTGTTTCTCTGTTCACATCATATATGTATACTACTATTATTACGGCGAATCGACTCTGCCTTATTGTATTGTTTATATGTTTTATATTTTCACACACTTATTTGTCTTTCCATCCATCACAATTTAAAATAACCAAACCGAAGCTTCGTGGTTCTGTGCCAATATATTGGAGTCAACGACCGAACTTAAGATATAAACCAGCTGTTTTACTAGGTGGTAGTCAACTCTCTTCCAGTATAACACACTCGGCTAACCTAACCGTTAATGAGACTGAGAAGAATTTGGAGGCAATTCAAGCTAATATTGCACGCCAACATTTTCATAGTTTAATATACGATTATGGTTACGGACGACAAACAATAATAAATTTATTAGATCAGAAAGGGATGGAACGTAATTTAGGACATGCTTATGCTATGGCCGTTTCAGCTTTAGATGAAAAAGAAGTCAAGTAAGAATAACTTGTATGCAATTATTCATGTTTAAATTTTCCAAAGCAGTCTTCGTCACAAACTGAAGTCTGTTGTGGAGAAACTCTGAGTTTCTTTTGAGTTTGGTATCAGTCTGTTGTACACATTCCTAACATTATCGACCGTTTTTATTGAGTAGATTGGTCATTAAGCCAGAATTTAGTGATCATTATTTTTTAAATCTAACCTAATCAAATGTTATTTCGGCAGCGCCGGTGATTATATGTTGCCAATCCAAACCTGATTAGCCTCATGAATAATTACTTCTCTTTAGAACTACAGAGAATTGTCTGTGAATACATTCAGTAACAAATAGCAATAGTGCTGTGATGTATGTCACTAAAATAAGTAAACATTTAACAAATCCGATATAGTTTGATATACTAATGATGTTAAATCCGTTTTATTTTGAAGCAACTATTCTGCTTTAATCAACAGTGTGCATGCCAATTTACATTACAGTTTCTTGTTTATTCATTTTGCAACTGATAATATATATTTAAGACAATTATTCCCTCTGATAAATTTGTATAATGTGATAATTTACTTACCGAGAATCTCAAACTAGTAAATCAATACTTGCCATTTCTTAATCAATTCGACCGCTTTCGAGCCCTGGTATTAAATAAATAAATCCAACTATTTTAATTTTCTAAATGCCTTTTGAACTTAAACCACTCGAATAAATATTATTTATCTGGAATTCCTCTCGGTAAGTGCAAACAATAACATACATGCATACAACATACTTATTTACTTACTTCACTTGCTCTGGTTGTCTTCATGTGTATAGTTTGTTGTTAGAATGAAGCCGGTTGTGTTTATTATCCCTTTGTTAAGTATGTAATAACTATCTTTTACTCTTCACAGCTGGTAAGTCCGTGGTGTGAAGCAACCAGTGCTGTCGGGTTGGCGTTCGAATCTTTATGGTTGTGGAAAAATGACTTTCGTGGGTGGGAGATCGTTGGTAGTAGGTTGATAGTATTTGTTCATAAGGATCGTCAAACCATACGTGGCGCTTTCTGTATTTTATTGAATATGCATCATCAAAAAATACAATACTGTTCACTAAGTCAACTAGTTTTGTGCTAAATTACTTTTAGTTTGATTAGACTGCCAAATCCTTTTGCCCAAAATATTCAGACATAATAGCTGTTAATTTACAAGCGTTTTTATAAATTGGTAATATTTCTAACTTGTGTGGACTCTTTTATTATGAATCATGCGAAAATAATCATATTGAAACTTATAGCCATCAACTGATGTACTGGAATTCATTTTCCTGCAATATTTGATAGTTTGTTTTTTATTCTTTTTACTACGAAAGATATGAAAGTTTTGATTTTCATCATGAATGTGGTTCAACTCGTTGGGATCGACTGGGTATCTTGTTAGAACACCTTATACCAGAATTATTGAGATCAAAGTGAGTCATTGTTTGCTCCTTTTTACTATCGAAATCACTTTGTGTATTTAGTTCCTCACTGTTAAGTTATCAACCAAAATTATATTTCATATATCCACCCTCAATGGTTTGATTAGTGTTGTTAGATGTATTATTCTTAAACAGTACTTTATTGCCCCTTTATACAAATATTTACCTAGGTATTAATTTGCCTTTCCTATCCTGTAGATTTTTCCCGTATCCTTATTGACATCTAGTCGTTAAAATGAATGTAGGTTAAAAGATCTATCATGTGGCGGTTTCAAAGTATTATGGTTTTATCATCTCACTAAGAGAGGCTGCTCAGAAAAGAACAGGTGATAGATAAGTCGGTTCACAATAGTAAGGGAGCAAGCAAAATGGCAACCATTGAAAAGGCTCATATTAATAAAGGTGAACATTGAAGAGGGGAATTACATTATCAATTGTGTAAAATATGTTCGATTCACCCTTTGTTGTGGAAGGCCTTCCTAAAACGAACGGTCTGGTGGTGAGGTGCCAACTTATTGATAACGGTTATCCAGGTAAGTGGAAATTTGTTGACGCTCTGAAAAATAATAACAGTGTAAATGGATTAAAAATTGAACAGCCTGTTGCAGAAATCCATTAACAGTAATGGTCGTTAAATATTAAGGAAAAGAATCGATACTAGACTATTTATGTGTAGTAGCACATCATTTGAATATGAATATCCAAACGTGGTAAACTTTTTTACGAAAATTTAATGTATGTAGCATTTACAGCTATATTACATTGATCTTACCCCCTTTTGGTTATTATACACAGTCAGTATATTGCCGAGATTATTCAATTGTGGTAATAGGTCGCCCTTGTAGGCTAAGTTGTTAATGTGTTGTCATGTCGTGCTCCGAATTTTCAATATCTATGTCGCTTGCTTACGTACGCCTATTACCACTCTTAGTCTGTCGAAGAATATAGAGAATAGTAAACAATTTCACGGATTGATATGAGATCGCGTAACGACTTAGGAAAAGAAAAAAAAGAAAAAATCAAATATGTGAAAGATAGTTATCTACTTAAAGAGCATGAGAAAGATGAGGAATAAATCTAAAACGTGAATATGGTTGCAACGATACAAACACCACTGGCGGAGTGGGGGCATACGATCACCTCTCTACATTGTTCTAACTCAGAAGCGGGGCTAGGTAGGGTTGCCAAATCTAACCATTCCTTTTCAACTTTGCCATCAATGACGGTCTGAAATCAACTTTGATGGATGTGGGTAATGGTGGTGTCAATCTGTTGTCTGGAGAAGGACTCTTCGACCTTGAGTGTCCGGATGATATTGTCCTACTGTGTGATGGTACCTAAGCGATGCGATCTGCACTTAATCAGCTGGCAACCAGTGTCCGTGGGTATGGCATTTGCTTTGCACCTTGGCAGTGCAAAGTACTTTTACAATACTCTTAAGATCCTAAACCTGCACTCACTCTTGGTAGTAAGCAAATATGAGTAATCGAGAAGTTCGTGTATTTGGGTAGCTCAGTGAATGCTGTTGGTGGCGTGAGTGATGCGACCAACTCACGTTTATTGTAAGCTAGAGCGACTTATGCCAATTTAGGCCATCTTTGGCACCTCCGTGACGTTAGTCTCGCTGTAAAAGATCAGGTCTTTAGTGCGTCGGTGAAAGCAGTATTGCTATATGTTTTTGAAAAATGGTCTCTTCGAACTGGAGATGTTAGGCGATTCTCTGCGTCGGATCACCGTTGTCTACGAATGACTATTGTAATTCAGTGGAAACACCATGTTCTTATTAATGCAGAGGTTTGGCAGCGTGTGTTTGGGCACATTGAAGATAATTCGGTTGCTGTCACCATCTTGAAACATTGACTCTGGTGGCTTGGACATGTGCAAATAATGTCTTTTCCATAGCGACTTCCATACTGTAATCTTTTTGCTGACTCTCGGACTGACTGGAGAGGCAATTGGTTTATGACATGATCTCGAGGTATGAAAGAAATCTGTACAGGACCGGATTTTCTTGGTTCCTTACGACTATCTTGTTGGGGTCCCCGAGATGGTGCAACATATAGGGTTGGAACATTACCAGAAATGACTCAGAATCGAAGCCAGTGGTGATCCTGCTGTAACTTTGGCTTCCTTCATAAAAGTGGGAGCAACTTCTTTAACTGAAAAATATCCCTTCTGGTTGCATTTTGCTTAACTGAACTGCTTCTCCCATCATTATTTCACTCACATACACCAATATCTATACATGGTTTTTCTTGTTCTTGTTATACTCACTTTCCTTCCTCTATCTCTTCACGACCTCATTTTTGTTGTATCGTGCATATATATTTTGGCTTCCCTTGTACCAATGTTTAACATTAATACTTAAGTCCATCGACTTCATGTAATGTGTTAAGCTTAAATTTATATCATAAAAACGTAAACAGGTACCATCTTAATAAATATATGGACTTCTGATAACCAAACAGATATTCAAGAAATAATTATATGCATTTAATCTTCAGAATGTATTTTAGTTGCATAAACAATAGTTGACTAATTAATTATAATTTGTACAGTTCTTATCAGTACTACCTTGTAACTAGTTAGAGTTCAACAGCTGGATAGCGTTTAAAGCTATATATGTATGCAATAACAGAAAGTCGAGTAGACAAATATAGACTTGAAGGTGTTATTTATCAGAAATTGATCCCATTCGGGGTACCAAATTGTGATGAATACCGTCTTCAAATAAAACTAGTTTCCATATAAGCTGTTAGAAAAATGGTATAATTGTAGTCATCAGTCCAGACGTTTCGAACGGTGACCGGAACAGTTTAGCTGGCCTTCAGCTGCTCGACAGTTACCCGCTCTTCTCAAACATCCTGAACGAAACATTAGGATAGGCCCCCCGGACTCTAATTGAAGTTCGAAAAGCTATAGCTAATCTGAAACGAGTAAGAGCAGCTGGTCCAGATTGATTGGCTTCAGAAGTCTTTAAGGATGGTTGGTCCAGTTTTAGAGATTAGGTTGACTAATATTTTAGCTACAATCTGGCAGTTTGGACGTAATCCCATCTGACTGGTCACAATCACTGATTGTCCCAATATATGAGTAGGGTTCAAAATCATCCTGTGATCACAGAGAGATTATTTTGGGTAATACAACGTCTAAAATACTAGCATAAATAATTATCGGTCGCCTATCTAAGACTCATGTACATCAAACACGAGAAAATCAGGCTGGCTTCAGACCTGATCGTGGCTGCATCGACCACATATTCACTATTCGCCATGTTTTAGAACACAGACATACTTATCGGCTTCCGACAATGAGTTTTTCTTGACCTAAAAGCAGCATTTGATTCGGTAGACCGAAAGGTTCTGTGGCAGTGTCTGTCATTGAACGGTGTACCTCAGAGGCGCACAAGCCTTGTGAAGGCTCTTTACTCGAACACTACCAGTCGAGTTAGAGCATATGATGGACTGTCATCTGATTTTGTAACCTCAAATGGTGTTCGCCAAGACTTTCCACTATCTCCATTTCTGTCCAATTTTATCATAGATTTACTTCTGGAAATAATCTCGTCGTCTGGATTTTCAGGGATTTATTTCCTACCAGGAGATCCACTTATTGACTTAGAATATGCAGATGAGATAGACTTGTTTAGTGAAGAGGCTGATAAAATGCAAAGTCTTATGGTAGCACTGGTCAACAACGCCAGGATGACCCACGAATGCCGTGGTACGACCGAGAATGGGGAAATTCCGCTCTCCCTCTCAAAATACTCACGCATGGCCACGCGTATACAGCCACTGTCAGGAAAGTCCTTCTCAATACCTTCTCGTGGCGGGGTGTTTACGAGATTGTGAGGACAAAAAGTGAATGTCCGTCGCTTTAAACGGGTTGGTGGACACGGAGAGTTCGCCTAGAGGAATTGGGAAACCCTGATTCTAAACCAATGGTGCACATGGGCTGCAGGATCGTAAAGGAACAAATGGCGTATGAACCAATCGTTGGTCACCAGCTACCATGGGACTACATTTCCTGATGTTACTCCACTGACTTGTGGATCAGACCTTTAGGTTGAAGGCTCGGGGTGCAATACCATAAGAAAACCACCTGCTTCGGTCTGGGTAGCCGGGAAGTATCACAGCCAACACATAAATCAAGTGACTTGTGTGTATTCGGTGCCCTTTAGTACTAATATTTATGTGAATATTCCCATTTTGCCATTTGTTAAATAAAGAAGGAACGAATTGTGCGAAGAAACTTCTTTTCAATTAGTTTTTCATCATGGCTCTACACTAATATATATACGTTTTACAATAATAATATAATACTCATCGAGTGGATACGTTACGTAATAATTACATAATGACATTTAAATGAACATTGATTAATTGGAAGAAAGAGGATTATTAATATTCAAAGTGATCAAGAAGTTGCTAAGTTGCGTAATGTAAGAAACAAAGAAGGAACAGAATTTTAACGGATGGTCAATAGGATGGTAGTTACGTAAGAATCAAGAGATGAATGTTGAGAAGTTATTAAGTTCAAAAGCAACAGAAATAAAATTACAAAAGTTTTAAAAAAAATGGAAGAAGTATGAAAAATAGTTCTTTTGAAGGAAATCTTAAACTGATGGCCAGGGCAGGGAAAGTGGTTGTACGAATCTCTTTTGAATGCAAAGGTCAGGTTTGTGAACATGGATTGCGATGGCTTCCGCAATGTGCAAGAGGCGCACTCGTAAACCATGTGGAAAATTAGATGGGATATTGTAGATAACCTTAAAAGCTTTATTCAATTCGACTTGATGACCTGTGTCAACCAAGTGAGAGAGAATAGAACTTTTAATCACTTTTACCTGTCCTTTGTTTAACCACGACGGATGATGTTCAGTAATGCGATGACGGACTTGCCGAATTGTACGCCCAATATAACTGGCTCCACAGGAGCAGTTGAAACTATAGATACACATAGATTTGGCGAATTCAGGCAGTCTGTCTTTGTTGGCTGTTCTTATCTTAGGATAGTTGTAGAAGATTGCATTTAATCTGGCAGCATTAAATGTTTTTTGTACGGCTCTTCTTAGTTTCTGAGTCAAGGTTTCTTCAATGGTGTCATTTATGAATTGTAGTTTTAAATTCTAAGTTTTCTTAATTCAATCGTATGAAAAAAATGTACTCATCGTTTGTAAAATATAGCCTTTTCTTATTGTCTTTGTAAATCGAACCTTGGTAAATTAATAAAAAGAATAATGGTATTGGGGACATTTGATCATTGGTAAGTAGCATCTAGCCCAATGTAACGAATTCGAATGTTATTTTGTGTGTCACTATTTTGAACTTTTGTTCATTTATAGACTCAGGTTATATGACCATCTTGCCTGAAAGACTGTTAACTAAGAGTATTTTGAAAACTATATAGATCAGCGCTATCGGTTTTTGTAATTTTAGTGATGAAACGATACTGTTTAACTTTATCACTTCCATTTTTTAGACAACTACATATAGATATGAATAACTCTGCAACAATTATTACTCGTCAAACTGGAACATTTCGTTCAAACTGTATTGATTGCTTGGACAGAACAAATGTGATCCAATCTATGCTTAGTTGGTGTGCATTAGAACAAGCAATGATTGAAATTGGTATATTGCAAGGTACAGTTTCTCGAACAGCCGATGCTAGTACTACATCACCTCTATCTCATTTGTGGCCAGGTTTTGGATTTCGTTTTAAATCGATTTGGGCTAACAATGCAGATTACTGTTCTCTTCAATATACAGGTACACCAGCCTTGAAAACAGATTTCACTAGAACAGGTAAATTTTGTTTTAGAGCAAATAAGACTTACAAGGTTTGAATTCATATTGACTTTGAAGTAAGTGTTCATTCAAGTAATATATGGGTACTTATGTAATTTAAAAGTGTTTTTTATTTTTAACTGTGGTTATAGCTTACGAATCAGTTGTTCTTAGTGCTACTATGTACCCAGTGGTTTCTCGGTAGAAGCGGTTGTCTAGTGGTTAAAACACACTTTCCACTATTAATTAAAAATGGAGTGAGATGTTGAACATCATCATCTCAATGAAGTTGATTTTCACAGCCGCACCATAGTACTTTAACTAAACTCACCTAACATTTGTACCAAGTATAACCCGAATACGAATACATTACTCTGACTTTAGGTAAGGAATACATTTCTTAGAGATCTCTTTTTAAAACATCTTCGATGGCAAATATAGAGGGAAATGGTGACTTTGAGCAACGCTATTTAACAATTACTAGTTTGAAACAAAGGTTATAAGTGGTTCCGTGCCCATATTCGACCTTAGGCATTTCATGTTCTCCTTCCAAGATGCTAGTAAGCTTCTGCGAATACTTCCCTCTAATACAAAATTGCAGAAAACACTCCTGTCCAATAAATCGAAGACAGACTTAGTGTTAAAGACTATTATCACTGTTGGTCAGTGTTCAGGCAGCTGGCGCAATGTAAGGATGCTACTAGGACATCTACAACCTATCTGGTGCTTACAAGTCAATTCCATGCAAGAATCGCTTCACTACCGATTGATGAAACCTGCAATTTGTCATTGTTTTTAAACAACGTACTAGAATGTAATCCTCGTCCTTAAAATTGAGTTTGAGTCTACTTAACTGAACGTTTTGTAACTATGGTAAATAAAATTCCTTTCGTACTTCTGCTTCTTTAATTATATCACATTAAGCTAAACAAATGATGTAACAACAGAATAAATGGCGATTGAACTTCACACCAATTAGTCAGTGAGTAGTCACTGATTTCATGGCTAGTCTATAGTGCTGGTCGAATTATTTGAGTCAAGTTCGGATGAGGCGATCATCTGAATAGTTCAGTAATAAGATTTTCGACTGTGATAACGAGCGACATAATTCCAACCCTATAAAAGATTATCAGTTCTCTCAATATTTTTTTTGTAGTTAAGTTCTAGTTTGCACAAGAACTAGGTCGATGACTAGTTACTATTTGTCTCCAGTCACATAATATCAATATCCATAAAATTTATTCGCTATTTAAGATTTTTCTTTATTAAAATAATAGGTAAAAGAACATTCTATGGTATACTGATGGATGGTTATTATTCAATAATTCGTTATTATTTAAATAATTTCAACGATGGCTTCCGTCAAGATTCAATGCATTTACTTCTTGGCCAATATAAAGTGATGGATGTTAATGGGAATCTTAAGCCATTACATGGACCAGGTGGACCTCCTAGACGTCGCCTAAAAAATTCTGATTCTGAATGGTTTACACAGTTTCTACCACTAGTATTTAGTTTTACCTTAGCTATGTCTGTATTGTGTTGTATCTTTCCTACAGGTAGGCGTTTAACATACTCTGTATTTGATAATTATAATAATTTTGGGTTAAACTATAATTTACGGACGACCTTTGAGCTATGCTTAAGTAACCTCGATAGTGTCCACCTACTTGAGTTTAGTGAGGGTTGTGAATTGATGTGAGGAATCAGGATTCACAGTTGGGCGTTAGGATTAGTCTTCATCACGAACTGGAATCATATATAATGCAAAGATGCTTTTTAGCCATATGGACGAGTGAATTTCGCGCCAAAATCCAAGATCTGCTGTCTTAAACCTGATTGGTCCATCCGTAAATTACAGTCTCGCCTAATTTTGCTGTGTAACTGGTTGGAATTTCACACTACATTACATGCTATCCATACAGTGACATAACAATAACAGGACTGTATAGTTGAGTAATTACGAAATCAACTTTTAAGATTTTCCTGCACTAGTTATTTTCAACAGTCAAGTTCAATTTCTCATGCACTGACCATAGTAAGTTAACAGAATGTTAAGACAAAACTTCATAAGATATCACTGCCTAATACCAAATAAATTGACTTACAGTATGTAGGTAGATAGGTTGACCATGAGATGGACGTATGAATGATGACCGTGGCCAGGTGAATAATGCCCTTACTCATTATGAGTCATTGTATTTGACTTATCATTCAGCCTTAAGATATAATGTGACCTGGTTTCCTTGCTTAATCAATACTGTGTTCAAATCTCTGTGGTAACAATAACCTTTTAATAAATAGTAACTTCCGGCTGATAAATCCCATACTTGAAAAGAAACTTTATTACTCCCTACATCCCGTTTTATCCAAGGTTTACATCAGTGCAGTTATGGCGATGACTGGGCACTCTCTCATCTGTTGAACTGCAGGTTGATAATATTTCACAGCACTTCTAGCTGCTCACACTCTGTAGATATTCTCAGGTTTACAATTTCATATGGTTATTGAAATAATTTTAAAAATCATCGGTGTATTTAAAAGCAGAGTTGTTACATTGAGTCTGAATTATTGTAAGCGGCGTGAGACATTGTGAATATTAGGTGGGATAGTTAAGAACCAATTTGTTTAAATAGTTTACCGTTTTTTTTAACTTTTGTGAATTATTAAAACATGTATTTAAATAACATGTTTAGCTCCTCATTGCAGTTAACAATAGCCCTAATGAGTTGGTTAATTTCAGCTTTCTTTGTGTACATATATGAGGTATGGCAACGTAAACCTATGCATACTTACTTCAGGTCTTGTATTGCCTGTGATGGACTATCTAACCCGAAACAATGTTAATTCTGTAAAGGTTGTATTTCGTACAAAATTTTCGAAAAAAATCCATCCTATAGTTCCTAATTTGGTTTATATCTATTTTCAGCTCATTGGACAGAGAAAGCAACTTACGTACTATTCTGGGGTGGAGCTTCAGTTCTTTCTGCTTTAGCAATATTTGCCTACGGTGATGATTTTGTTGACCATCCTCGATTTTGTCCAGACTAAAGAGGATTTTCCAAATCAATTCTTACGATAAAACCCATGAATCCGTAATAATTTCGTTAATTGAAGAATGTAATGCTTGCTCGATAAAACTACATATTGACAAACATCTTTGTATTTTAATAGGAATATATGTTCGTTTGGTCGACTAACAAGGACATATCTTTTCTGTCTTCTTTCTTTCTTGTGCTAAAAAGGAATCTTTTTATGACTGTGACAACTTTGCTCATTATATTAGCAGTGATTACAATGTCTTTCTTCTGGGTGTTTTCTTTTTCTCTTCATATTTCGAGTTAAGTTTGATCTCGTGAAATATTTCGAATTCTTAAACTAATCAAATCATTGCCATCTGAACTTGAATAAACCAATCCACCTTTAAATTGTCACTGCCTAGAAAATTGTACAAAATTTCCGTTACTTTTTCAGCGGATGTTTCAGTACGTAAGTGTGAAAACCTGCCTCGATCAACAATCCTCATAAAAATTAATGAATAGCAGACTTTTCACTGTCTAATTAATTGATTCCAGTGTACCATTGCAACTTCTTTGTAGTTAAATGAAGAAGTAAGATTGTCTTTCTACTGGAACCGGTAAAAAAACATCTCGGTTGTCCGTAGCTCTTTAGTGTAGCATCAAGATCATGAGATATAAACCGTGTCTGCAATCCTACTTGGAGAACTGTTCGTTATGTCTAGAATAACACTTAGATCGTGGATCTCAATAGTAGTTAAACAAGTAGTGTAACTTGTGTTTAATATTGCTTACTCTAAATTGGATATCCCGAAGCTCTTTGGAAGCTAGTGTTAAAGAATTCGATAAGAAGCAGTTACCTAAATATAACGCCAGTAGGTTGCGCTGTACAATGGATTGGATGCAGTCAGATTATGAGCTGATGGATGGTTCGTACCAGCTACCGATCTTAGGCAAAATGTCATAGATCGCCAGTGCATACTTCTAAGGAGTGCCGAAGCAGTTCGAAAAATTTAATGCATTCGCTTTAAAAGTTCATTGACTGAGACCAGCCTATGATAAGCTGCACAATCGTAAGCTCATTGTTGACTGAAGTCGCGGCAACATATATCATAAATAGGCTGCTTTCATGAAAAGTATGCGATAGGACCCCGCTTGGTGACCATTGAAATACTAATTATCCATACTAGTTGGTCCGTATCATTCTCATTAGATTCGCTTACCGAATTATGTGTTTGTATAATAGGCTTTGAGTTATACTGTTTGTGTGAAAGCTAAACAGCTTAAACGTTAACCGATCACCTCCACATAGACAATAATATTTGAAAGGTAGCACAATAACTGTATTTGATGACAGTGCTCATTTTATTTGTTTATATATACTGAATCAAAAATATCCATATATTCACAATTATATGTTGATTTCATGTAAGAAATCACTTTCCAGATTCGTAAAAACAATCAAATTAGGTAAAGAATTTCACATTCGAAAAAAGGGAAGCATGCAACATTGAAATCCTTTTAATTATGGTAGACACAAAGTGTAGTTGGAAAAATGAATGAAGCTAATAATTTTAATATTTTTCAGAAACGAGCAACTTGCACTTCGCAATCGAATTGTTTTGAAATTCCTAGTCCCAACTGCACCAACGACAGTTACTACTAATTGGCTGAACTGTGATTTTTTGATAGAAGATAATTGATGATAAAAGGGAATATTTTTCATTTTACAAATAATAATTGATGATTTTTTTTATTCAGAAAAAAATTACGCAGAGAGAGAGAGGGTAATAGAATTATTCTTAATACAAATCTCAATCAAAAAAAAAAAAATAAATCAGGATATTAACAATTTGAAATAAACAAACCAAGTGTTTAGAATAAAATATTACATAAGAAAAGGAGAAAACCAAACACAAATCATTGTATTCATTCTATTTATATTTATACGAGCCTGTTTGTTCAGATATATCCATTGTATATTTACTTCTGTTGTTATTGTCGGTGTTAAAGGCATGCTGTAAAACAAGAGGATATAAATATATATACTGATTCTGACAAATGATGATCGATGTTTATGGACGAAGTCGAACTCGTGTCTATAAAATAAGTCCTCATAAGCAGACCAGTAACTAACGTGTAGTTCATTTAGTTTTATTGACAATTCGACCTTTTAAGAGCTATTATTATGATTTATTTGATATTTTGAAAATCACTAAGTAATATACTTGCTATGCACATATGTGCCTGGTCCTACGTTGTAGCTGACTGACTGACCTGACACTTGCTATTTTGCAGGCTAATCATTCAATGGAATTTACCAACTAGATGTAGTTGTGCAATCGATTAGAAATTCTAACATCGAAGTACCAGACCATCTACATTCAATTCATCAACTAAAAATAACCGTATAAGCTCGTATGTGTGTAGACATCGTTCTTTCTTTTCACAGTTGGTGAATCCTTTGAGTAATAAATCATAATGTCAATACAAAAAGATCTCATTGGGAACCAATTTACAGTTTAATCGTCCTTGTATGGCGGAAATAGTAGTAATGGTAGCCAGTTTTCATTACTTTTCAGTACTACTTCTATATTCACATTTCGATTGTTGTATTAGTGCACATTGCTAATAATCGGTATTATCCATAATTAAAAAAGGATATATCTGTGTTTAAAATACTAACTAACCTTTGTTATTCATAATCCCATTGTTATTATAGACATGTTGATTATTCTGAATAGAAAATTTACGATTTATGTTCATCAATGGACGATTGCACATAACGCCATCATCGTCAAGTCGCGGTGTTGAAAGTGATGATACCGATTCAACACATGATGAATGTTGTCCATTATTTTTGTTGGTAGTAGTACTAGCATTTTCACATATCACGTGGATCGCATCATCTACAAACAGATTTTTATTCGGCAAGCGATGTATGACATCATCGCTTGGTTCAAGAGACAATTCATAGCGGTGATTATGTAATGATGGTGAATTTGGATGTAGCTCCTCATCTGAATGAGGGTGCCCAACTCCTCCATTTTGTTGGAATTTACTCACTACTTTTGAATGAATAAAATTAAAGCATCAAAAAGCAGAAAATAAATCATAACACGTGAAAATAAGGTTTACATAATAAATGACTAATTTCCACGTGCGATAAACTATAATCTAGCAGCATATGTGTAGATTATATAAAGTCAATAAAAGAACTAATACTGGTCAAGAATAACTTGTAATTGAAATTTTCTTAATATAGCGTTATTGAGAACCCAAATGCATATTCGTGTACATGACTTAAAGCTAAATACGTTTAAAAAAACCCGGTTATTCAAAATAAACTTGATTTCTCATTTTCAACAACGTAATGAAAAATCGGGTGCCATGAATCAGATACACAAAAGTGAAGTTGTATTTTGTCAGTCTCTTAAATTGTAATAATTTATAATCCATTACTAAATACATAATTGATAAAATGCGGGTAAGGCGGGTCAAATAAATAAGAACGAAAACATTTTTTTGTGAATGACCCAGTATATTTTGACTCAATACAATCGATACACAGAAGGTAGGTGACAATCATTACAATAAAATACATTTCATTATATAACTCTCACATATACTAACCCTACAATTGACCAAAGTCATTAAAAGTACACGAATTTTCGACCAATGAGTCTAATGACCCACCATATATTAATAAGATGCAGAAAATGAAGATTCAGTATACTTGAGCAGTCGGAAAAATTAAGAAGCAACAACTTGCATTATATGTTTCAATTACGTCTCATCAATACCTTCAAAAGACACCAAGTAGCGTTAGTCGATCGGAAAGATTCAAATCTGAAAATCACATAACCACTTGTTGTTTATTGCTATGAATGTTGTCTGGATATCTGGAAGCACAATTTTTAACTAGTCTGGCAGTAGCTAAAAATCAAAGATTTGTGTATAAGCTTGCAGATGCAAACATTACTGACAAACAGATAAAACTAAATTAGAACAGTCTCAATGTCCGAAATATTAGACGTCGTAGATCATCATACTGTAGCAAGTAATCAACAAAAGTGAAGGAGTAAAAAAATCGGCGTCAACAGCAAAGAGAAGAACAACTCTTAAAAAGACTAAATTCAGTGTATCAAGATGAAGAGTAGATTAATGTGCAGGTTCCCTACTCGAACATCATCGGTTGAGTCAAAGGTAAATTTTAATCAGAATTGCCAACATTAAGTGGTGTTTACTAAGGTTGCTCACTACCCCCTTTTTCATTTAAATTAGTAATAAATGACCTCATAGAAATAACACCCCAACAAATTTTCCCAAGGCTGATCGTCTATCAGGTCCACAAATGGACCATAGATATGTCGAAATGGAGATTTCTGATCGCCTTGAGCAACAATGAATGTATGTTCGTGTCAGAATGAGTTTCTTTTCCTCGGAATTATAGATTTTGCTTCAGGATTGGTTTGTATTAACACAACCTAATGATAGTGAGTAAAGTAGCTATGTATGTTGATCAATTCACTCATCTTGGAAGTTTCATTAACCCTCATGGACTGACGTCTGGCGAAATCTGTGCACAGATTCAGAAGGCTCAGTTGGTCTTTGCCGATGTGCGTTAAAGATATCTGTACGCTAACACAAGTCCAATCGGCTTTCCATTACTGTATAACTGTTAAACAGTTTATGAAATTAGAAGATAAACGTATACTGAAGGTTTTGACCATAGGGTCACGAGAACAAACTCAAGTTCGTGGAATAGCTTGCTTCTATATAAGGTAAGTGCTGATGATGTTGGGAATGGCAATGAAAGCTTGTCAATTAAACAATCTACATTAGAGAATTGGACGCCACTAAAAGCATTTATCTGAGCTTGAAACTTTCTCCGTCATTTAAAACTCAGATATTTTAACGAGCAAAATCATTAAAATAAAATACTAAAATAGAACTTACTGGGTGATTTGGATTCGAATGGTAAAGGAGTAGTAGTATCAGATACCACGTGATTTTTCGGATTTCCCATATCAATACTACTAATGCTATGTTGACAATTAGAAGTATTACCATTAGTTAGATGTAAATTTGTTAAAGATATAGTAAGTTGCGCATTATTTTCTAGGTTTTTATTTGAATTCTTTTCTTCAATTTTAGAATCATTTTCTTGTTTACTAAGTGAACTGAACAATGGTAAACTATGATAACTAATAATTGTTAAACAACAGGGATTTTGTTCGTAAGTCAACTGAGAATTTATTGAACGTGTAATCCAATCATTTTCAATTGTACATAGTATATCATCAGCAGAATGATTATCTTGACGTAAAGAAAGTAACAGTTTATCATCTAGACCCAGAATACGATCACCAATCTGAATATCGGTTCTAGAAGCACATGAATTCGGCTCAATACGAACAACAACTGGTCCACTAACACCCGGGCCACTAACTAAACGTAAACCTAAATGAATATTTGATATATGACTAGAATTGGTGTTATTGTTAGTATTAACTGGTGCAGCTGGTAAATAAATCTGTCGTACAAAAAATCCTCCACTACCTCTTCCAGCTAATTCTAAAGCCTTTTCAATTTCATCTTCATTTAAAGGTGTCATATTCAACATTGAATCAATTTGGTCTTGTTGATTGCTTGAATTAATTGCACAATAAGTAGATTCAGGTAACCGATAATGATTATCATTCTCACGATGTCCAAATCTAATTTTATTATTCTTACTTTCATCATCTTCATCTTGTAGTTCAGGCAAAGTGCACATATCTCTTAAAAAGCTTGGTGTTTCAATACATGGCATAATACCACCAAATAATGTCGGTAGTTCTAGTGACGGAGGTGGATAAGGTGGGAACATATCATGTTCATCTTGTTGAATTCGATGAGATGGAGATAATGACGAAGTGACCGGTGGTGGAGAAGGCTTAAAGCACTTATCTGATATAGCATTATTGTTAGCAGATAATGGTGCGTTGAAGTACGGTAAACGACCTAATTCAATTGTACAATACAGTAGATTAGCTAATAGCTGGACCACTTCGGTTGGGTTCAACCAATCTACCGGTTCACGATCTATACTTAACAGGCGATCACCCGGCTAGATAAGCAAAAGAAAAGAATAATAAACATTTGGAAACTCCACGGTATGGAATAAAATGTTTTCGTGGCAGGAAGTATCTATAAAATTGGGATATTTTCGTCAATTCCTTCAAGTTGAAATATCTCTTTGCTTTACCATTTATTTCAACATACTCAAATTGTCACTATTTCTATCAATATGAGTACGACTAGAATTCCCAGTATTAAAATGATTAGCCTCCAAGATTTATAAAAACAAAACAAAAATCTAATTGATAATAACACTATTTGCTTGTCTCAGATAATAACGAGATATATACCTGAGTTTCCTTGTGATGCTGACTCAGTCGTAATAAGTTTATTAGAATATTTACTTCTTGAAGTCCTACTTTTGTCAGTGAGGTATGTTACATATCTATTTGTTAGCGGGACATATATTAAAACATGTTCCGTGCATGATTGTGTCGGTGCACGCTGACTGGCTAATTCGTATCCAATCAGCGCCAATCGATAGTTGGAGAACACTCTAGAATCTTCTCATGTAAAAACTATAAATATACTAACGTTTTTTTCTTATTGTGCTTCTTACTTCCATCTACCCTTGTTATTTGAGATATAATTTCCTTCCTGTCCAATCGTGTTCTGATTTGGGGACTTGTCGAGTGAATTGATGTCTAAGAATACTAAGCAATAGGGATAGCTCGGTTGTAATCAGAAAAAAAAAAAAACACTATTAAACTAAAAGTAATTACTGTTACTATGTAAACAATTCACAGTCCAGTGACAGTTCAGAGGTGAATTTGTACTGTTAGTTGAACAGGAGAGTAAGGACTATAAAGTATTACTATTATTAGGATCAGACTGTTAAACAATAGCAGTTTGATACTTTGAATTATCCAACGGTTTCTTCATGATGCAATACCTATTTATTCGACAATGTATATCTCAAAAAATAACTATGAATACAATTGTACAGTTTTAACGAACGACATTGTCGACCTGCTCAAACTTCTCTGGAAGATTTATTGCAGTCAAATATATGATATCGAATAAAGCGATTAATATCATCAAAATTATTTAAAACAGAGTATTTTTTTAACCTTCCTAGTTTTAATGTACATAAGTAAAACAGAAGAGAAGCAAGAAACTACTACTTACCATTATCATTCCTAATCGATCTGCTGGACTGTCATGTTGAATACTATCTACGACTAGTCGAATGTGTGAGTCCCATAATTCTTGTGAACTCGCATAACGAATACGCAAACCAAATGCAGCTGAAGCAATTTCATCATTGTTATTATTACCGTCATCACCACTAATCTTCTGATCGCTGTTTACGGCAACACAGTTAGTTGATGATTTTAAATCGTGTAATTCATTTTCATCAGTTTTTTGACAGACAGAATCAACAAGAATATCAGGATCATTAGAATAAGGTTTTCCCGCCTGAGGACGATCATTACAAAAGCCAAATTGACGACGTTCAAGTACAACCACATAGACATTTAATCGATTTCGAGGATAGGCTATGAGATAAAATGCAGATATACGGATATACTCATATTTCTCGTTATGGGATCAACGTATACAGGATGCAAATACAACGGTATTATAATGAGATTTTAAAAACAACGAGTGATGAACGCATTCACACATGCTCTAAACAATGGGATGACTCATATCTACCGTAACACAAACGTCTAAACATCAATTCGGAAATTCCAAACGAATACACGCCAGCAAAACTATTTAGTAATACATGTATATACATACGTGAATCAGTACATAGTTTAGGAATTATATTAAAGTATAGGTGATTAAAAGAACAGGAGAAAAAGATTTCCAGTGCAATCATATAGAAACATTTGTACATTATTGTATCACATATCAGTTAAAATTTTTAGATAAGTTGGTAACAATACTTGTGTTTACATAAGAGATCAGGAAAGTTAAAGAAAACTTGAGAAAAGAAGTTAAACTAAATCGTCCATAATAAATTTCATAAGATAACAAATATAACACATGAAATAAGAGAGAACACTTCATTATGAGTAAATGGGTGGGGCATAAATGTTAACTGCAAAAATAAAATTTCGTACTACATGCGCAGAAAAACAAAGTCAATCGGACTATCTGAATATTTTGTGTATATAACTATCGTTTTTGATTTAGATTATGTGGTTCAGTTGTAAAAAAACTTATGTAGTTTTCATCATTTTCATTCCTCCTATTACGTTAACCATTCATTCAATTCTTCACTTGCTTCTGTAAGGCATATGTCCATTTGTTTTTTGTAAAGATTATTTCACATCAAATGATTAACTATATACAATGAAATAAGTGAGGACTGGATAAGTAGGCAGGCAGACAAATAAGCTAAAACTATCGGCCTACATATAGCGATAATAAATGACAATGAGGAACACATATGGAGAGAAAAAAACATTAAATTGGATGATAGTAACGAGAACAACAACAATGCATTTCATAGAATAAAATATGCAAACAGATGCATTGGATAGTATGGTGCAAAAAGAATAAACACAAAGGTCCGATCAAAGGGATAACGAAATGAAACAAGATAAATATGAAGATTATATGTAATACGTAGTCGTTATCATCACAAACAACAACAATACCGAAAACAACGAAAATAATAATTTCGACATTGATGAGCAACGCAACAGCAGTTCGAGAAAAAAATAAATAAAACAAGAGAGGGGATAAAACAATTTTATTTGCTAGCAGTAGACAATTATGATAAAAAGCGAAATAATTATTCAGATAAAGGTGAGACGTAGTGAACTTTAGTGTTTACTAGTAAAGTCAAAGGTTAGAAAAAGGCTAGCGAGTGTTGTCAGATAATCAAGTTATTCACCGTTAGACTAACAGTGTTGGGAAGTGAGAGCTTCTTGATTGGTACGTGTGTGGTAATCATCAGGTAACATGTTTAATAACCATTTGTAGAGGAACAGAAGTATTCTTAAGTTATAATATATAGCTTTCCACAACCATAATTCTTAGTAATTTCGCTTCTTTACTTTCCAACTTCATAAATTCATCTTTCTGTATCATCAATAACAAAATTACAAAAAATATTTAAAACCGTAAGGCAAAACGATGTTGATCATTCATGAAAGTGTTTTAAAAAAATCAACCAACGATCCAGATAACTCGAGCTTAAACGGAAGCATACAATTGGTTGAAGGTGTAAGGATTACAATTCCTAACCTTTACAATAATGCTTTCACAACCAGCAACTTTAGAAATGAAATGACGTTTAGAAGGAGAATAATCATATAGCTTTCATTTCTATTCATAATTACTTAATGATCATCTATAAAGTTATATTAACGTCAGTTGAATATTTTTGTATATGAGGGATAATTTAGATTCATTATTAATATATATATTCAACCACTCAATGAGTGAATTCGTCTTCCAAATTATCATTACAAAAACTTTATTATTTATTTTTTTAACCATTATGACAATATTACCATAGTTAATGAATTTTATAATTTATTGATTACCGATTACGTCTAAACAAGTACAAAAGGTGGAGGTTTGTTTACAAATAAGTTTAAATTTATGAACAAAACAAAACACAAGTGTATTATATGAACATACCATGCATTGATGGCCCAGTTTTGTAACGTCCAATCAATAATTTCACGTCGCTATGTGCATTCTATATACAAAAAAAAAATAAATAAACACGTAATCATGAATGAATATAATCCATTGGTTTATGTAATGACAAATACAATATGTTTATCAAGATTTCAAACTTTAATTGGAAACTGTAATTCATATTTTATAAAACTGTAAAATTTAATTAAAACGAATATCTTGCATATATATATATATAATAGTGGATTAACTGTCACTAATTTATCTGTTATTTGTAATTCTAATGGTCTTGGAAAGAATAATTGTTGAATATTCACTACAAATAAAGCGTACAAAAATGACATATGCGGTATATTAGATAGCTTTTTGTCTTATTCAATAAATTCTTGCTCTCAATCACATTTGATTATTCGCCCGAGGGTATATTACTGAGTAGTTCCATATTATCACACACTTATGAGTAGGCAAACAAAAGTACAACCTTTTGAAGCAATCGACATATTGTCAAAACACCCGCAGACATTAAATCTAGGACAAGAAATTTAAACATTTTTATAATAAGTAGTATGCTTGTAACTAAATTTATATTGTTGTACATCTACTTAACCTACAATCTAGAACCTACATTCACTAAAAAAACAACACTAACTAACCTTTAATAAATTGACTACTTCATCTGATTTAGCCAAACGCATATCCCAACCATTAATTTCTAAGATTATATCACCAACTTCCAAAAGATTTGAACGAGCAGCTGGACTATTCTCTATCTGGTTACAGAAAAGGAGAAAACAAACCATCGAACAGAGAAAAGTGTGAGATATCATAGTTATATTTCGATGGGAAATAGCTGAAACGTAAATGAAATTCAACAAGAATCACAAATTGACCCAAATCACTCTGTTGACCAATAAAATTAAACGTTGTAAAATAAAGAATTGAAGTAATCGAAATTTTCTATGGATCATTGTGAATATAAGGTAGGCAATAAATTGAATGGTGGGGAATTAATTGAGTAACGGTAACAAGAAAAAAAACAAAGTTCTACACTCCATGCATATTCAAAGGGAAGATGTGTTGTTAAATTCAAATGATTGTTATTTTATATTAAGTAAAGTTTGAATTAATGATGATCATAGGAATACTATTTTGGGAGAAACTATCAATCACAAATATACGAGGCTGACCATAAACTCATGGTCAGCTTTGATCTATAGTAAGTTAACTAACTACTGTGAGACGCAGCTATTTGAGTACTATAAAATTTTAAGAACATTCAGTTTTACCAAATATCGGAAAATAACAGAAGAAACCCACTAATTTACTGAATACAGAAGGAAATCCAGAGAAAATGTCCTCTTCAACGATATCATTTACTAAATTTGTACAATCGTATTTATGGTGGCTCAATCAATATATAAGTCTAAACAAGAATAGAAAGAAACCAAATTATAAAGACCTCAGAGATTTCAAGTACCAAAAGGTTGCGTAGAAATCTCGAAGTTGAAGAAACGTAGGAAGATGGAAATAATTCAAGGAACATACATTTAGGAAATAATCGTCCACATGACAGATATAAAGAAAAGACGAAAAATATATAGGTAATAATAACAATTGAATAATAATTGATATATATAGACTTACAATGCCTCCAATAGCTGTACCAGTCGAATAATGAGGTCGGCCAATCAATGACAGACCAAAACTTTGTCCAGGCATATCACGTTTCAAGTGAACATTATGACATTCGAATACACCTTGATTTATATATTGTGGTTCAGGATCTCTGTACACAACCAATTGGATACAGTCATCAGCTGTTCGTATAATCTGGTAATTGAAGTAAATATAGATGAAAAGTTGAACAGAACTAAAATTGGAAGTTAAATTTTACGGAGACAATGTGTGGAATTCCTAGCAGGAATCACTGGTAAAAAGAAGTCATGAGAACAAAACACAATACCTTTGTGGCATCTTTTTGGGTAGCTTCACGAAGATCGATCCCATTGACAGCTAATAAGCGGTCACCAACTTGAAGCCGACCATCACGTGCAGCAGCACCACCAGAGTGTACTTCATGGACCAAAATGTTACTCTTTAAAGAAACAAATAAAAAGGAGCAGTGATTCACTGGTAGTTAATCTAATATGCTTAGATGAATTATGTATGTGAAAGACTATCTTTCGATAGGAAACTTAGTAGGATCGTTCAGTACGCAGTTCATATTACGGAGACATCCACACGACGAGGCCTAGTAGTTCCGTGTTCGATCTTAATTTGAGTTGTACACAAAAACTCTTAAGGAGCTATATACTAAGATAAAACAGCTCCTCAATGTTCCCCATAGTTCAATGTTTGTCTAAGTAAAATCAGTCAATCATCTAAACTATAAATCTAGCTCATATACCACATGATGTGAAATTGTAGCAAGTTAACATCTAGTAAAGAGTAGAAAAAGAGTAATTATTTCCATATAATCAAGCATATCATATTATATACGTAAAATCAATAAATAGGACTGAGCAAGAACAAAGATTGGTCCAGAATAATATGAATTCATTTTATTTCGTTAGGTTCTCATCAGCTGCTTACAACCTATAATATTTCAAAATCAAAGTTATTATACTATATATATACTTATAAATACGAGGGTGATTAAAGATGAATATATGTATCGTGATGTAGCGAAGATTTTAATAGAGTTAATAAGGTCATAAAAGTCCTTTTGTTTCGGATGAATAAACTCTGGGAAGGAAAGTTCCAGAACATTGAAATAATGATTAGAGCTCATGCAGTTAACAAACATTAGATGATAGTGCAATCAAGCAACTGAAAACAGATTAATGGTAATAAAGAAAGGTAAGAATTGAAATCAGTTAGCTATGAATTGAAGAAAAATGACAATGATGTAATTAAACTTCAGAAAGAGTTGAAATAATCATCATTTAGATTTAACCAAATAGCACATACCAAAACTGTGTCACTTCCACCGACAATGGAGAATCCGAGACCTCCGTCAGCCTTGTACAGAGTAACTGTAGCAGGAATCCCAGGTATAATGGATAATTTATGATGCTTTATATCATAGTCTGGATTATCCCCTGTTGTAGTTACATATCCAAATTGTAGCATTTGTTGTGAGTCACTGTGACAAGGTATTTGTCTACCGATGGTTAGGCGTACAGATTTTCTTGATTTTTGCAACAATTCCAGTGTACTTTCATAATCACATTGAAGTTGACCATCAATAGCTAGTATACGATCATGAGGTCTAAGAACTCCTTGCTGCAAAAAATAATCGATGTAAAATGTATTTTATGACATCCAAGAAACATTTATAAGCATTACATTGAAAAAATAAAGGAAACCTATAAGCAATCCAGATCAAGACATGAAATCAGCACATAAAGTGATGGACTGAGCAGCGTCTTTAGACAGTTGAGGTTCTGTTGGGGCTGCTAGATCCCCAGAGATAACTTAACAAAAATCTTATTTTTGTAATTTCATTTTGGGAATTTGAATTTCTTGTTTTCGCACCAGAAGCTCCAATTTTTACCTTCAGGTTGTATTTCCAATTGGAAAGGACCCTAAATGCCATTGGTTCGTCCCCTATTTGAGTACACTTTTTGTGACGTTTCCCAGGGACATTTTTATGCCGTATATATACACTTGAGTTGTGTGCTCGTGCAATACACCTTTCTTTCATCTGAACTAGATCTTCTTCCTGTAGTTAGCAGGACAGGGATGCATCGGGATAGATTAGTTTGTATTGTCGTTTTTTTTATTCCATTCGCCGATTTAAGTGATCTCTTAATCTCTTCAAATATAGCACGTTTGTGAGAAAATGGCAATCGATGATTAAGGGTTTCAACTGAACTCGTTGAAAGTCAGTGACAGTGGCCTAGTCGCATGGAGAGCTTGTCCTGCTTCGGTCTGGGCACCCGGGCAGTATTACAGCCCACTTACACACAAATATGGTGTGGCGCATATATATTTGGTGCCCTCTTGTACCAATATTTATGTATTGAAATAAAAATAAAATAAATAAAATGGACAGCCTGTACTCATTTACATCTTTATTTTTACACTACCACATATATTAGTGCTGATACATTGAAAGTCTGCTCTCCTTCTAACTGTGTTGTTGCAAAAGGTGAGAAATCGAACCAATGTGCGTTTATTGCAGATTCCAAAGCTATTTACGATCATCTAATTGAACGAAATTTTAGAAAATTAGATGAACTTTAGTCCAACACTGTCTTACTTATTTTATTACAAAATATAGTACTGGATGTTATTCGCACTTTCATTTCCTAGCAATTTTAAAAACATATCTAAATAACGGAATAATTTTATGTTTGCGTATAACTTTAATAGTTAGTTAACCCTAAACTAATCACAGTGTCCCCATAAGTTTTTGAGCCTATCAAGAACAGTACACTTTTATAGTCATACAATTTTGTTACTCCAGCTGAGGATAGCCAGTTCTCTCGCCACTAATACTTAGAAGTAATTAGTATAAAAGTAATGAAAATATGATTCAGAAGTACTGAATTACATACTGTGAGATCCACTTACTAGTTGTGCTGGGCTGTTTGGACGGATTTCGCTGACGAATACACCGGGTTCATTGTTTGGACTCAAATTAACGATGAAAATACCGAAACCCTCTGAACCCTATGAAAAAAAGAAGGCTGAAATTAATCAACAGTTGAATATTGAGAAGGATTTAACACAAAAGGATCAATACTCCCTTAACGCATCTGGATACTCAGGATTCGGTGAGTATACTCCTAAAGATAATCTACAACTATTCAACATTTAAACACTATGAAATATTGTGCGACAGATAATCAAGTTGGATTATTCTCAAGGATCACGTGAAGAAAAATACAATTTGCTCCGATTTTAATAAGATAGTGTGAGAGTGGAGGTGTATAATAAGATATTTATCATTTATAAGTAACATAGATTGGACAAAAAAATGATAAACTTATTTATTCGCGTGATACAGATAATACACTCAGTACACACTATAAGATTTACGCGGTCACTACTCCGCAGTTTTCTTTTAAAAAATGTAAAACGCTTCAAATGATTTGAGTGGTAGCTTTACCATCTGATTACTACAACAATAATATTTTCTAAAAGTCATGCTTAGCAAGTTTATTTTCGATAACATGGGATAAAGGTCGGATCACGTTTTTTCTAATGTTAATATTTTGTTCGGCATGATGTCGTTTGCATTTTTCAAGTAACACTTATTCAGATGTGTACTTTGAGTATTTTGTAGTAACATCTGTTTATTTACCATACGTAATATTTATTAACTAAGATGTGTCAAGTTCCATATAAATGAGTGAATTTTAAATTAACGGCGACGTGTTTGAAGAGCCGATAAGATTTCTATTACCACTAGTTAGCGTAGTGGAAATCGCAGTGGATCCTCGATTCCAGTATTAACAGTAGGACCTTAGTCATTACAGTTTTACTAATTAACATAACCATACTATTCATATTTTATGTAACACTATTCAATCTAAAGAAAATGAACAAACGCGTTCTCTAGTTGGATAAATCTATTAGTAAAATTAACTAGGAAACCAAATGAGAACAAGATTAAATGACAAGGCATATTGTTTATGATTTGTACAGTGCAGTAACAGATAAACAATTGATGTTTTTTAGTAGTTATGTGCAAGTTCACGAACAGGACACAAGAACGTAATAAATAGTTGTTTGAAAACAAAAAAATGAGCTGGTACTCAAACCGGTTTTGGAAATATCAAGGTTTGTTTCAGTACTGATTTTGAGAGAAAACGTCGACGGAGTTAAAGGGTATAGAGGACTTTTAATCCCACAATAATTAAGCATGTTACTCGAAAAGTGCTACTTTTTACACCGAGAATTCTATATTTGTTGAGGAGATCCAAAATATTCCTCGGAATCGCCCAGAAACGCTGGGAAACATTTTATCCATTCAGTATTGAATAGAAGTTTCTCGGAAACATCTAGCTATATGTTAAGTAAGGTTCCAGAAGCCCAAATCCACATGAAATGTTATAAATACTCTCAGCTTTCTGTACATGAACGAACCTTGGAGTAAAGCGTTATTTCCATATCCCGCTCCTTTTCTCCTGTGTTCAAATTGTTGTGTAGACTTAGCCTGGAGTTATTAGAAGAGCTTAGGAAACCGATTCAAGCATTAAATCAAATTTTTTAATATTGTACTAAAGATATAACAATGAATGAATTGATTATCAACAACAATATTTATTATCATATAAAGCAATATTCGTGAGAATTCAGAATAAACATGACAAAAACAGATTGAAAATCACAACCAACCATGTGCTGAAAATGCTCTACTATAGGTAGTGTGATTAGACCATCACATTTATTAGCCTCAATCACACAAGCTAGTCGATTTATTAAAATAATATTAAGAGTAAAAACGAGATCAATGCTTAAAATATATGTTCTTAGTCCTATTTGTACATTCACACATTACACTTAATGGGACTATGATGCACAGGATTATTCGGAACAAAGTAACTTTAATGAAGAGATTAATACCTATTATCATATCTATTTTCTTAACAGTGCATATGACGTTGTTACTACATTAATTCAAATGAAAAGTGATGTGGTTCTGTGGTAAAGGTAATTAGCCTTCAACTATTAAGTCGGTATCAATGCCAAAGTTGAACTTAATATTTTCAAATAAATTGAACATTGGGTAGAAAGTTAGTAATAAATATATTTTTTGTTATATCCCAATGAGTAGAATAATTATATTTCTGAATATCTCTAATATGGCTAGCATCTCTACACTAAAATAAACCAAATAAAGACGAAACACTGTGTGAAACGATTTTGGCCAAACAAATATAATTATTAGGACAATATAAGATAATTATCAAAATATTTATATTTCTTTCGTCTTCGATAAACACAACAAAAAAGTCTGTAGATGCTTTTCATCACAAAAAAGTATATTCTTTCTACTTACTCTCTCCAATATAATGTCGAATAGTTGAAATTTCCAAAAATCTTCATTTAATTCAACCATGATCTCCTTTAGAAATGTATGTGGAATTGGCTTTGAACCAGTTGGTAATGGATTAGGTGATGATGAAGATAACGCTTTTGAACAGGTGCTCTACAAAAAAGATACGTTTAACATAAAGAAACAGTACTAAAATAGACTAAAAACTATTAGTATGGAAATAAATTCTCATTGATAATGCTTTAAAATATGGAATATTTTTTCTAAAGATGAGAGAAAATATCAAGCTTCATTCAATCAATTATATTATTTGAAAAATGTATATGTTCCCAATAGTCACATGAATTCTAATGAAGGTAAGAATGATGTATAACGTGTACTAGTAAATATAACAGTTTCAGTACATAAAATACTTCCTTTTTACAAAACTTATTCTCTCTGGTCTGAGTTCATTCAGTAGTAGTTTTGTGTTCAGTCGAAATTCGATTTAAAAGAGATGGTATCCGATCAAAACCTTATGTAAATTATTATGTTTGTATATCAATTCATAAAATATTTTTGAGGCATTTGACAAATTTTATTTTTCTTTCAAGGTCAAAACCTCAATATGAAACTGTTAATGAAATAAGTGGATCTAATGATGACTCTATTAGCTACTGGAATAAACATAAACTAGGTAAACTTTTTATATTGGGAATTATAATTAATTAGTTATATGGGTATTAGTACGTACATACACAAAAAAATCCTAATTCATTATCAATGTGAATTGCCTGAATAGTAAATAATAAACGTCTCAATTCATTCGATAAAGTGTCCAAGAACAAAGTGTATTGCAATCTGACATCACATTATAATACGTTGATTAATTAACACGGCATGCAATTTGAAAAAAGGTCGATAATTGGTGCAGATATTTTGACTTGGTATTCGGGTAGTAAGAGGATTACTTCACTTTGAAAAAAAAGGATAGCGTACCGAGTCAACCATGTTGAGAGTGAATAGGTTACCTATCGATGGCAATAGATAAACACTATGATAGACTGATGTTGGGAACAGAAGAACGAAATCAAGTATTTTAGGTTAAATGTGTCAGATGAATCACGAAATGTGAAAGTTCTTACGTAAATTATATGTGGTTTAGATAACTCATTGTTAGTGTTTTAAATTAGGACAAAACAGTTGACTAATGCTCTAACATTTATGAATTGATGGCAGCCTATAGTGGAAACAATCGTCGAATATATTATTAAACTTGATTTTTTTTTTCCAGTATTTGAAATAACTCTCAATAACAGATATGTGTTTTAATTCACTCACATTCATCATTTCAATTAAGTAACTGAAACAACCAAGTGATACGATGAAATGAAATTGAGAGGGTTAAAGGAAAAAGTGATATATTATATTAATTATAAAAATTGTCAACTAATTCACAAATTCAAATTTTTAATGATCTTAAAAGTTGAAATCACGATGTTCCAATCTTGACAAAAGATTAAAGTAAAATCAACAGCCTAACTAGGGGTGGAAACCACGGTACAGATTTTGTCCTATTCGAAACTCACTAGATTTTTGTACTTACATATTGATATTGGTGTTTTTACTGAGACCTGGACCTAGTACACATTGCATTTAACACCAGAGTTATTCACTGAACTCCAGATTAACAACAGCAACCCAAATTATAGAATATTTATTAATAATAAGGACTTTTATACTTACATACCGTGGGAGACAAATGTTTAAGCACAATTTTGTTCAATGAAAATACAAATCAAAAAAGGACAAAATATCATTATTTTAGAATATCAAGCAAATAAGCTTATACCAGTGAGAATGTTTCTTAAAAATCTATCAGTTGAAATGCAGTAGCTGATATAAATTGGAAAAAAAAATATTGCACTGAGATTAACTTACACCAGTCAAATTATCTACACTCAGCGGTGAATCATTGCACTCCCGTGAAAATGACATCAATGACAGATTTTTTGGATTTCGTCTTATGATTAGTGTAATGAAAGATTTGATAACTGATTGATCAGAATCACTCACTTGTCCATTATTTTCATTACCAATAAAATAATTATTACTTGAGTTATTGACTGAATACTTATTCGACATTAATTCGGTAATTTTTGAATGGATAATCTGTTGAACGGAAATATGATCTAAACCACAGACATTGACGTCTTCAACCTAAATATCGGATATAGACGCACGTAAGCGAGCAGTATAAAACAAATGAAAAAGAAACAAGAAAGAGTCATTTAAAATAGTATATAAAGACTGTATGATATAAAAGAGATATTAAACCAACTACAAAAAGGCATATGACAGTGTGGATAGGAAAATCTTGTGGAAGCATCTTCGATACTATGGTGTACATGAGAATATTGGATAACTTATGACCCTTCTTGAAGGATAACAAGCAAATATAAGCATGTTTAACACCCGTTAAGTATAATGTAGCAAACTGCTGAGCAGTAAACTCGTCATTTGTTCGGAAGACGGATATCTCGCCTACGCCACTGTTCATTCAAGTTAGCATAAACCAATCGAGTCTTCTGAATCTGCCGAAATTTCATCAGACCACAGATCACCAGTACTGATGAAACTTCCTAGATAAGTAAAGCGATCGACACACTCAATTACCTCACTCCCTATCACTAATTCAGGCGATGACGCAATTCAATCCGCATTCCAAACATGTTTGCATTGTTCTTATGTTGATCAGGAGACCGTATTCTGTCAAAAACTTCACCAAACTGAACTATAACATTTGGGTATTCTAAGTCGAAAACTGAACCTACTGATAAAAAACCAACCTCTGAAAGGTTAGAGAATGAAGGTACTTTTTCTGAGAGCATTTCTTGTAGACCGAAAAACTAGATCTTTCAAGATTAAAGGCACAGCTGGCCAATGAGTGACAAATAGCACAAAACGTAGGTCCAAGGTTGTCTGTGGATTATCCACAATCACTTAATATGTAAGATGTGTTTGGGAGCCACGAGTAATGACAAATAAGTAACAACAGGTAACTATTAAAAAAGAGTAAGATACATTTATTTAACCATTTAGAAAAGAGCAAGAACAAAGATAAAGGGAACTCCGTGTATGAAATTTATCAAAAAACGCCTACCTGAACAATTAACCAATTAGATTGTGATTGTGCAGGCAATTTTACTGGATGAAAAGTACTGAAAATGTGGAAGTCATTTTGTTTTTGTTGATGAATATGAACTACATGATCAACGGCAAGAAATTTCGAAGAATCAACATTTAATTGTTGTATTTTATTGACTGAATGATACACATTACCATGTGAGAATTAAAACGGATTTTCCAAAAAATAAAAAAAAATGGATGTCTCTGGAAACGACACGTACACACCCTTCAATACAATTCAATATGAAGAATTAGTGGTCCTTAAAGTAATAAACTTAATCGCTCAATGTAATTCGGTTTTCGGCAACCTTGAAAAATCGACAGACCTTACACGAAATGTATAGCTCATAATCGAGTAAATAAATCTGTACTTGATAAGTAGGATATTAAAATGTCAAAAGTAAGTTTCTTCATTATCATGAAGTAGAATAATGAAGTACTTCATTAAATGAATTAAACATATATATAATAATTAAGGTTTTGTTTTGTATATGATTAAAAAACAACTAATAATATTCAGTAAATTAGCTTGAATTTTGTCATGTGACAATGAAGACGAAATCGGAATGTCCATACTTTGTTATCCATTATAACTAACCTGTACAATTTCATCTCCACACTCAAGACCGCCACTAGAATCCGTTTGACAGCTTGCAACAAATGTAGCCATACTCTCGGGATTAGAACAGCTTACAAGATGCAAACCCAAATTTCCCGTTTCTTCGTTAACATTATGGGTGTAGTTTGATGAAGAATTAATTAGTAATGGTAGACGAATAACAAGTATCTCATCTTGACTATCACGTGTGTACAATTTCACAGGACTATAGAAATTTACTAAAATATATTGTATAATGAACAAAATAGAACCAATTTAAAAACACAAAACCAAGACAGAGGGATTACAACAAAAGAAAAATATTATAGGAAACGTTTAATTGTAGAATTGGTTTCAAATGTTCAACCGATATTAATAACATAAATTCAATGCAAACCGGGAGGTAGATAAATTACAGCAGATAAATATCGGAACCTATAGATAAGTTAAACAATTTGTAAAAACCATTGAGTCGTCTATGCATTTAAAAATAACCTTCAATGATATTTACTTTTTGCATAACAATATTTTGGATAAGAAAGTTTACTAGCATAATATTTTACAAAATGAATAAGTTTCGCTTATCATTTGTTAAGTTTCATAATACCCGTGTGGTTTGTATCTTTTATTTGTTTGCCTGAGAAATCTTAGCTCTTTAAATTAGTACAGATTGATCAATGCGCAATTTTTAAGATCTGTAAAGAACATGTCAACCCTATCAACTTAAGAATCTCACGATAAAACAACTGAGTGAAATCAAAATACTTTTGATGAATGCTGCAACTATCTGTTGTACGATTGTTTTCTTAGAAGCACGGTTCAGTGGTAGTGGGTAACACAATACAGAGTCGATAAATTTCCACGACTGATCACTTCACTAACTTGGAAACACACATTCGCTTAAAACTGTTAGCAGCCGAAAATCCCTAAACCAGATGTAAAAAAAAATGGCCGTCGAGAACCTAGCGCCTGTCAGACATGCATACGTCTATGAAACGTAAGGTGTGTGTACATGTAGGATCCTGATTCTGTATTACTGCACGAATAAGAAGATAATTATCTAGAGAATTGGTGAGAAGTATTTGATATAAAATTCTGAAGTACTTGGATTTCATCCTCCACATCACTAAGGGACTTTCAAAGAAATTAAACAATTACGAATTGTTGTAAATTACACAGTATTGGACATGTGATTCGGATCTATAGTGTACATCGATGACTGCACATAAGATTGAACCTACATTTCTGTTTACTAGTTGGTAAAAATGAAATTCGAAAACCAATGATTACAATAAATTTCTAAACTTACATTCATTTACATTTGAATCATTAACTACCATAGGTTTTAAATAACCAGTCGCCTCTTGTTCTTTAGATGTTGTAGACAATCGTCTAGGAGGTAGTGGAGGTGTAGGAAATGATGGAGAACTAGAACTACAAACACTGTCACTAACCCAGCCATTTTGTAGTTTTGATTTTTTATCAGATTTTTCATAGGTTGAAAACATAACATCAGTACTGACAGCGTTATCCTCATCTTTTAAAATAGGCGATGAAAGTTGAGATAATGGACATAGAGTAGTTTTCCCATATGTATTATGCTGTGAATCGGAAGAATTATTAGGATCTGGCGACGGCACTGATCTAGATAAAATATCCACCACATCACGAGACTCCATATCAGTCTATAATGAGAAATTAGAAGAAACGATAACAAAAATAAAATTCTTGATTACTAACAGAACTAACATTCAGAACTCATCTAGCTACACCCTTCTCAGACATAATCGATGTAAAAAATATCGCATGGTTTGTTGAGTTTCACAACTGTTATGTTTTGTATATAATAAAAAATTGGAGTCGAGAGGTGGCTCAGTGATTAAGGCAATTGACTTTTAGCAATTAAGTTGTAGGTTCGGTTTGGGCATCTGGATAGCATCACCAGTCTTTACACTTTTAGCGTGACCCCAACCCAAGTAGACGAATCGGTACCTGTTAAATCAGTCAAAGATTCTATTGTCAGTATGTTATGAATGCTCCAGAACTAGAATAAATCAAAATCATGCTGTCAAACGTGAATTGATGAGTTTTATGTATGTATTTGAACAAATAGGCATTGGTACAAGTTAAAAATACCAGTTAGTGTTTTGGTATGATGTATAAAACAAAAACAAAATAAACATCTATCCCAGATTTGATAATCTAAACTTCAATCATATAGTAAAGATCATCTAATACTATCAATTTCGAAATTATACCTTGGAGAAATTCACTAAAGAAAAGACAGTGTAACACAACTATCAATAAATACTTTCCGTTTACATTTACAATCTGATCAAAGGCTAAAATAGTCTTTAGTAAAACATTTCGGATGTCAATATATTTTATAATAGAATATGAACAGTGAAAGCATGAATAAACCCAACTAATAAGTAGACTAACTATAGCACAGAATGTAAACACTGTTTATAGACACAATATAAATACTTAATGAAAATATGGTACGGTAAATCGATGATCAATATTTTGACTACTTCTAAAACATTACTTATTATTATAAAGCTAAGTGCCCAATATATTGATGATGATTTCACGACATTATAGACATCTACTTCAATAATATTAGTAGTATATCGTGAAAAAAATTCGTAAGAGTGAATAGGCTTACAAGTAATGAGAAAAATATGAAGTCTTGGACATTAGTGATGTAACGACAGAATTGTTTACAAATGTCTGGTAATTAGAGAAAGTTCCAACACCATAGAATGAGTCGTTAGTTATCCCTATCTTTAATAAGAGTCCACTTCACTTATCTAACAACCATAGGAGGATAAGTTTACTTCTGATGGCATCCAAATTATTGACTTCCGTCATACTTCGTAGGTTGTTCAAAACCCATGAAAGGTTGACTTGTGAGGAGCAGACTGGTTTTCGTTCTGGTCGAGGATGTATTGATCATATCTTCACCCTCTCCCAAATCTTAGAACACCTTCATACTTATTACAAGCCAACAATCGTAGTGTCCCTCGACATCAGTCTCGCATTTGATTCATTGGATAGGACTGCTCTATGGGATTGTCTATTGAAGAAAGGTGTGTCTAAAAGCCCTATATACAAACACCACTGGCGGAGTGGGGGCATACGATCACCTCTCTACATTGTTCTAACTCAGAAGCGGGGCTAGGTAGGGTTGCCAAATCTAACCATTCCTTTTCAACTTTGCCATCAATGACGGTCTGAAATCAACTTTGATGGATGTGGGTAATGGTGGTGTCAATCTGTTGTCTGGAGAAGGACTCTTCGACCTTGAGTGTCCGGATGATATTGTCCTACTGTGTGATGGTACCTAAGCGATGCGATCTGCACTTAATCAGCTGGCAACCAGTGTCCGTGGGTATGGCATTTGCTTTGCACCTTGGCAGTGCAAAGTACTTTTACAATACTCTTAAGATCCTAAACCTGCACTCACTCTTGGTAGTAAGCAAATATGAGTAATCGAGAAGTTCGTGTATTTGGGTAGCTCAGTGAGTGCTGTTGGTGGCGTGAGTGTGTGGTGGTCGGTATCCGATATAATCCTCAACTTCGTATACAGCTCGTCTTGATAACCGTTATATATAACGTCCCAACGGTATATTAATCAGAAGGCAAATACGAAGCGTTGATTACGTTTATTACGAGACCACGCACATATACCCAAATGTACAGATGCGTTAAACAAGTATAGAACAGTTGTGCCGAAAGGCAAGCAAGCGATCGAGCGAGTGAGCGAATACAATCAAGCGAACGAGAGCCAGAACGAGACGAGAGTGTGTGTGTTGAATATGAATAACATGGATATATATATATATATATATATATATATATATATATATATATATATATACCATGTGAAATGAATGAGTAATCGCATCAAATAAGCAGTTAGTAGTAAGACTACCAGAGTGAATAAATGCGTAGGCAGTAAGCAATATTCAAGCATACGTATTTCATACGAGCATAAAATAATATAGGTACAATAAGTTGTTATAGTGAGGATGACTTTGTCCGCTAAATGAGTTACCAAAAGGGCTTAACTGAGTTAAATGAGGATAAACTCAATTGCACGTGAGTCACTTTAAGTGATGCGATCAACTCGCGTATATTGTAAGCTAGAGCGACTTATGCCAATTTAGGCCATCTTTGGCACCTCCGTGACGTTAGTCTCGCTGTAAAAGATCAGGTCTTTAGTGCGTCGGTGAAAGCAGTATTGCTATATGTTTTTGAAAAATGGTCTCTTCGAACTGGAGATGTTAGGCGATTCTCTGCGTCGGATCACCGTTGTCTACGAATGACTATTGTAATTCAGTGGAAACACCATGTTCTTATTAATGCAGAGGTTTGGCAGCGTGTGTTTGGGCACATTGAAGATAATTCGGTTGCTGTCACCATCTTGAAACATTGACTCTGGTGGCTTGGACATGTGCAAATAATGTCTTTTCCATAGCGACTTCCATACTGTAATCTTTTTGCTGACTCTCGGACTGACTGGAGAGGCAATTGGTTTATGACATGATCTCGAGGTATGAAAGAAATCTGTACAGGACCGGATTTTCTTGGTTCCTTACGACTATCTTGTTGGGGTCCCCGAGATGGTGCAACATATAGGGTTGGAACATTACCAGAAATGACTCAGAATCGAAGCCAGTGGTGATCCTGCTGTAACTTTGGCTTCCTTCATAAAAGTGGGAGCAACTTCTTTAACTGAAAAATATCCCTTCTGGTTGCATTTTGCTTAACTGAACTGCTTCTCCCATCATTATTTCACTCACATACACCAATATCTATACATGGTTTTTCTTGTTCTTGTTATACTCACTTTCCTTCCTCTATCTCTTCACGACCTCATTTTTGTTGTATCGTGCATATATATTTTGGCTTCCCTTGTACCAATGTTTAACATTAATACTTAAGTCCATCGACTTCATGTAATGTGTTAAGCTTAAATTTATATCATAAAAACGTAAACAGGTACCATCTTAATAAATATATGGACTTCTGATAACCAAACAGATATTCAAGAAATAATTATATGCATTTAATCTTCAGAATGTATTTTAGTTGCATAAACAATAGTTGACTAATTAATTATAATTTGTACAGTTCTTATCAGTACTACCTTGTAACTAGTTAGAGTTCAACAGCTGGATAGCGTTTAAAGCTATATATGTATGCAATAACAGAAAGTCGAGTAGACAAATATAGACTTGAAGGTGTTATTTATCAGAAATTGATCCCATTCGGGGTACCAAATTGTGATGAATACCGTCTTCAAATAAAACTAGTTTCCATATAAGCTGTTAGAAAAATGGTATAATTGTAGTCATCAGTCCAGACGTTTCGAACGGTGACCGGAACAGTTTAGCTGGCCTTCAGCTGCTCGACAGTTACCCGCTCTTCTCAAACATCCTGAACGAAACATTAGGATAGGCCCCCCGGACTCTAATTGAAGTTCGAAAAGCTATAGCTAATCTGAAACGAGTAAGAGCAGCTGGTCCAGATTGATTGGCTTCAGAAGTCTTTAAGGATGGTTGGTCCAGTTTTAGAGATTAGGTTGACTAATATTTTAGCTACAATCTGGCAGTTTGGACGTAATCCCATCTGACTGGTCACAATCACTGATTGTCCCAATATATGAGTAGGGTTCAAAATCATCCTGTGATCACAGAGAGATTATTTTGGGTAATACAACGTCTAAAATACTAGCATAAATAATTATCGGTCGCCTATCTAAGACTCATGTACATCAAACACGAGAAAATCAGGCTGGCTTCAGACCTGATCGTGGCTGCATCGACCACATATTCACTATTCGCCATGTTTTAGAACACAGACATACTTATCGGCTTCCGACAATGAGTTTTTCTTGACCTAAAAGCAGCATTTGATTCGGTAGACCGAAAGGTTCTGTGGCAGTGTCTGTCATTGAACGGTGTACCTCAGAGGCGCACAAGCCTTGTGAAGGCTCTTTACTCGAACACTACCAGTCGAGTTAGAGCTTATGATGGACTGTCATCTGATTTTGTAACCTCAAATGGTGTTCGCCAAGACTTTCCACTATCTCCATTTCTGTCCAATTTTATCATAGATTTACTTCTGGAAATAATCTCGTCGTCTGGATTTTCAGGAATTTATTTCCTACCAGGAGATCCACTTATTGACTTAGAATATGCAGATGTGATGAATACCGTCTTCAAATAAAACTAGTTTCCATATAAGCTGTCAGAAAAATAGTATAATTGTAGTCATCAGAGAAATACTTTTTGATCAGTTCCTGAAATCCTAGTGAGAAGTTTCGACCCGTGGAATTCAGATATATGAGAGATCAAAAAATTATCAGTAGTTGTTTTTGGATTGTCGTTGCGCTATATTTCGAATTGATAGAAGTTGGAAATGTGTATCACTGAAACATCAAGGGACTTGAAGATTTTCAGTTCAACCTCAGAGCAGGGTTATGTGAGGAGTCCCATACCAGGAAGAAATAGCTGCCTAGTGTTTTATGTTCTTTAATGCTCAGAATCGATCACAATGGCGTCGGTGTATACACTCTCTGTCTTCTCTTAAACTAAGAGATTAAGATCACTTCACATCTTTCTTTCTACGAACTAATTCTTTCTTCCTATACTATATCCTTATTGCAATCTTTCTCCTATATATTACCACCTTTGACCTAACCACTCCTATGAATCCAGTGTTCATCTTGCTGTGCTAATGAGGTATGGCAACCTGGGCCGATGCATACATGTGCCTGGTCCTACGTTGTAGCTGACTGACTGACTGACTGAATGGTACCCAACATACATTAATCTGTGATGAATATCGCCCTCAAATTAAACCGGATTCTACAAAGCCCAATAAAAGTACAAAACTTCATACATAGTCTTGACACTATCATCTGAATAAATTCGAATGCAATATGAGGTTATGATTTTTAGCGTTTAAAGACGAGACAATCGACAGAACTGAGAGCTTATTAGTTAGCTTGTGATTCACATTTTATGAACGAATGATCCTGTTTCATCTGAAACGATCCTGGAAATGCATAGCTCAAGCGAATTATTCTAGTGCCGAGTTGTTTGAAATATTAAGCTTTTATGTTGTTTTTTAAAACCGAAGTATATCCATAACGATGATGACTTTTAAATATTGGACACTTCACTACTTTAATCTATATCTGTACATGTGAGTAGTAAAAATTTTTGAATATATGAAGTCACTCAAAATACTTGTTTAGTGACCAAAAAGAAGTAAAGAAAAGTAGAAATAAAGTATTGAATTAAACTCCGTATCTCACTTAATTTCAGTAGCACAGTCAGTCAGCTAAAACGTAGGACCACGCACATATGTGCATCGGTCCAAGTTGCCATACCTCAATTAGCACAGCAAGATAAACACCGGATTAATAGAAGTAGTTCAGTCAATGGTGGCAATATATAAAAGAAAAATTACATATAAGGATATAGTACAGGAAGAAAGACTTAGTACGTAGAAAGATATGAAGCGGTTTTAATCTCATAGGTTAAGGGAAGACAGATTCTGAGCCATATCACCCAGAGTCTCCGACCATTGGTTCCTGTAGTCACGCAGACTACGACTAAGTAGTCTGCATCTACCAACATGGCTCAAACCAGAAGTCAGTGTCTTCAAGCACTGAATTAAGTGTTATTAAATTAACATTATACTTTAACAGTTTGAATGAAAAGAATATAAGCAAAACAACGAAGTAAGAAATAAAAGCATGAAGAAAAACAAACTAACCAGTGGTTCAGGATCTTCCATATCACTGGAACTTGGAGATGTCCCTGGGTGGACAATATGATCACATATTAGTTGACCATTGATAGGTGTGGAGATATTTAAATAGTTGGATAACTGGATCATGGATTAAAAAAGGAGAAATTAATGCATTAATTAGAATACCAGTAACAAGGTATGCACAAATTTTCCACGTCCCTCTAAATAAACAAACATATTAAACCACTTAATTTAGACTGAAAAAGCAATAGCTTGACGAAAGAACTAATAACAATTAATTTTCATTAGTTTAGGTTGAGATTAAAAGCCCTGGATACGTTCAAATTGATTTGTATTGCAAACCGATATCAAAATGGAAAAAAAGCAACGAAAGACAGAGAGCTTTAAACTATTTGAAATTATCTATGAGTACATATTTACTATTCTATACATAAGTTACGTCTGAACTCACAGATAAAATTATATAAACATCAACCTGTGATCGATTTTGGATCATGTTAAATTATGTTTGCAAACATGCATCACGAATATCACGCGGATCCAGAAGAGGAACCTAATCAATTGAGAACAACTTTACAGACGAGTAGTATCTTCATTTGACTCCATTAGGTTTTTTATGGATTTTAATTTTAGGTGAGACAACATTACGTTCAGGAATTTATATGCTAATCTACTAATTTGTTTTTTGTCTAGTGACAACATATACATACTTTCTACATACAATTAGGTTTGTTTTATCATTCACATCTATGATAAACATTTAGCCCCGGCAGAACCGAGGGTGAGGAGAGTCAGCTCTCCCTCTTGAAATGCTCTCATATGGCGATGGGTATACAGCCACTACCAGGAAAGTCCTAATCACTGCCTTCTCGCGGCTGGCATGTTGTTTACGAAATTGAGAAAGAGAAAGGCAAATGTCTGGCGCTTTAACCGGATTGGTGAATATAGAGGATCCACCTATGGGAGTTGAAAAATCCTGATTCTATGGACTGCCGGATCCTGAGGGAATAAATGACGTATGAACCTATTGTTGGTCACCGGCTACCATGGGACTGCATCTCCTTACGTTTCTTCACTGCCTTGCGGATTAGACCTTTGGGTCAAAGGCTCGAGGAATGGTCGTCCTAGAAAACCACCTGCTTCGATTTGGACGCTCTGGCAGTATCATACGCTTCGCACAAATCAATGATAACCACTACTGGCCTCATTGTTATTGAGTGGTGCATATGTGCTTGGTGCCGTCTTGTATCAATATCTATGTGTTCAAATAAATAAGTCATAATAATTGCAAATCATAATAGTCTAAATACTGATAGTATATTGTGAACCAATAAATTCATCTAGAACAGCAGAATATCACGATGATAATTGTTAGTGCAATGTAATGAAAACGTCTTTAATCAACTTACAACAAGATTTTTAAAAAAGTAATAAGCAATCAATTCATCCCTTACCTCCATTTTATCAGTAAAATTATTATTATTATTATTATTATTACTATCATTATTAGTAGTAGCAGTAGTAGTAGTATAATTGGTAATATTAACTTGATTGCCTGGCTTAAACATCTCAGCAACACCACCATTAATAATATGTTTTGTACAGTCATCATTAAAATGGCACACAACTATGTGGATTTCACGTAGACCAGGCTGATCCGACAGATACTGCAGATAAGCATTGACATAATTTGGACCTTTGGTGGAGACATCGATACCTTGAATCTAAAATTGATCAAAAAGACAGACAAACACAAAATTGGTGTTTTATAGTATTACTGATCAAATTTAAAGTTTTGGTAAACAAACAATTCTAATTTATTACAAAAAGTTTTTATAGCGCGATTTTTTGATCAGTTGTTATGTGCAAATTCTTAGACATATGAACAGTATGTCATATCTCGATATGGTCAAAAACTTTAATGGTTATATATTTTTATCAAGTAGTAACACTTAATCAGGTCACATGGTTAGTAAGTATTACACAGTGTGCAGTAGACAATTAAAATATAATCAAAATAGAACACAAGGTTAAATTACATAACAAAGAATCTTCTAAATTACGAACAAATTCATAACTGACGTTCCCTTTACGCCAACACAGTAGTTAAAGTACTTGACTTTTAGTCACGACGTGAGTGGTTTGAATACTGCACGAAAATAGTGAAAACTTTAAGGTCAAACATTAAGGTACTTGGTATGTTTTTCTTATTGCCTAAAATTTTGAAAAGCAAAAGCTAATTACTAGGAAATTTATGCATCCACTATAGTGTGGGATGATAAAAAGATGTCATGCCAGCAGAACTAGTTGAGAACCTTTGCTGAAAACTTTACTGTACTGAAACACATGATGTAAAATACAGTAAATATTCTCATTTTTACTGTGATCAGTTTACATTAAATATATGACATGAACAAACTTATTAACTAAGTATATGTAAAGAAAGATAGTGGATATCAGTGAAATCCAGGACGCGCGTTTCGTCTTATTTGAGACTCGTCAGCTGGATGTACCTGCACCTCAGAGTCGATGTCCATTCTAGGGCTCGAACTCAGCACCGTTCGTTTCACATATGTCAATAAGAGACTGATCGATTGCAGTTCTAAACATCAATGGAAAGATTCAAACAAACAATTTAAACTTCACCCTATTGCACAAGCAAGTGGCTATCAGGACTCAGTAGCTAAGTGGATAACGCGGTGTTTGAAGCGAATTGTACAGAGCCCCAGAGTGAACATCAACTCTGAGGTGCAGGCACATCCAGCTGACGAGTCCCAAATAGGACGAAACGCGCGTCCTGGATCCCACTGGTGGCCACTATCCATCTTTGTATATAATGCTTGTGAATTAAGGTTATATCGAGGCAATACGCACAGTATGCATATATGCCAGTAAGAGGCTGATCAATTGCAGTCCTGAACATTAATGGGAAAATTCAAACAAACAATACCAAGTGAACTTATTAACTAATCAGTAAGGATAGTAGCAAATGTTGTCTTTATCTCTTTTAGGCCCTATCATTTATGGATGACATTAACCTGGAAAAAAAATAGGAAGGTGAACTAACAATTGTCTAAACAACGATTACTGCATGATAAAACAAATCTCTAATAGGTATCAAATCGTTAAAACAATATCCGATATGTTACAGTCGATATCTTAAACCAATATATCGGATTTTAATTTACAGAACTTTAAGGTTGAATTTAAAATATATACACAACTTATCCCTAAAATATACAAAATGAATATATATTCTGAAATCAGATCAGATACTTCAACGATCCATTTTGTTATGGTTATGTAAGTGTTCGCAACATACACTTTGTTGGGATATTCAGAAAAATATCCCAAAAATTATTCTGTTAAGTCTAACGCTATCCTTGGACTTAAGATGGTGTCATTTCCTCATTGGTCAATATTCATTTAACGTGTCATTTTCCTACTGGTCAATATTGTACAATGTTATTTTCTATTTTATCGTACGATGTGGTTTGTTTGATTGGTATATAAACAAAGTATGTTTGAAATATAACGATTCATATATCTGAGGCTGAGACTTGCGTTCTGGACTTAACTGGCAGGGCTAGACAGGGAAACGGGACCAATCAGAACCCTAGGCCGTTCTACGTGTTTGCGCGTCTTTGGTCCGATCAATAATTCGCTACCCTCTAATCTGCCGTCACAGTTCTAGCACACTTAGAATTAAAATTGAACATGTGATTAGAACGTACAAACAGTCCTAAAATTATATTGAGGTTTGAGACTCAGGATACTAACAATCAAAAATAGATAACCATCTATCAATCAAACAATCTATTTCTCCCTCCATGCTATTATCATTTTGTGTGGGCAACAGAAAATTGTTTTTACTTAGAAAGAATATCTTTGTAACAAATTATCCGAAACAAAAGTATATATAAACTATAAACTCAGATCTTGCCAGTGAACTTGAGTATACTATGGAACGTTATCAGTATAGCGAAAGGCTATTGTTAAACAATCTATTTAACATACTTTTGTTGGGACCGTTATTTACTATATATAGTGCAATTCGTATGAACCCTGGTGAGTTGAGAGAGAAATTAACCTCTAAAAATTAACGGACCTTCGACATGAGTGCAAGAAAGACCTTTTATTAACTTGAACTAAATGAAACGCAGGTATGACATTCGTCTGTTTTCGAAGGGAGAGTATGATATTCAATATAATTTGTACTATAAATGATACATTCATATTTAAATTGAAAGATTACTTCTTATAATCTTGGATAATATGAGCTTACAAAAATCATGATTTAAAATGTGTGGAGCACAGACTAAATTGTAACAACGTTTATCAACGTTTTCGGATTCTAATTTTTAAAGAACAAGAATAATAGTCTTGACATATAAGAAAACATATGTTTCTTTAATCTCAGTGATACATGAATGAATGAAAGTTGGTCAATTGAAATAAAACTAATGAACATAAATTGATGAAAAAAAATAAATCATCATGCAACAACGACAATGAACACTGACTTACTTGTAAGATCAATAGACCACGACTAAGCAATTTACAATTTTTTCCTACGCTATTAGGCAATATCTCGGATACAATGCTTGGATTTTCTAAATTCATTGGTGCTGAACAATTCAATTTTGAACAAATATCAGAACCTTTAAACAACAATTAACAGAAAAGAAAAGTAACATTTTCAATAGTCTACTATTTATTACCAGAAAATAAAGAAAATATCTAGTTACACAATGATATTTGTTTTGTATTACTTCGAAGATTAAGAGTGAGAAGAGTGTACACTGAAATACACATACAAACAGATATGTGTCGATAAAAAATTGAAGAATTCGTCACTGTTCATCAAGAATGTAAACAGGATAACCTGGTTTAGTTAAGGAATAGTAATGCACAATATGAAAATTGACATCAACATACAAACATCCACATAAAAATGAGTACAAGAAGTTGGATGTATGTCTTGCATAGTTAAACTGCTATCATAACACAGAATCAAGATTTTACTCAAGATTTTGAGGTTCAATAATACAGAAAAGGTTATTTTGAGTTTGTAGACGACTTACGTCAAACATTTACTACAGCGGAAGAACTAAGCAAAATTACGGAACACTGAACAGTCCCTAAGTGCCTTGGTAAGGTCGAATGTGGAGAATGTCTACCCGCTCTCTCAAAACACGCTTCCATACGGCCACATGGATATAGCTGCTGCTAAGGAATTCCTAATCACCGTCTTCTCACGGCAATGTTGTTTACGAAATTGAGAGGACGAAGAGCGTATGCCCAGAGCTAAACCGGGATTCCGGATACGGAAGAATCACAAAGGGGAGTTGAACAACCCTAATTCCAAGTCAAAAGTGCACTCAGATTCAGGGTCATCAGCCACTATATTATAGAATCTCCTGACGTCGTCCCACTGGCATGTGAGTTAGATATCGAGGAGTGGACTCGCCTATAATAGACTAAACTCGTTCATTCATTTTTTAATCACTGAATTATTTTTTCCACCATCTTCGCACTGGTTTATCTATTTCTTCACAATTCTATTTGCTTCTTTGTGCGGCTCATGTTGATTTTGATGACCTTTGCATGAATATTTATGTATTTAAATAAAAAGCTAAATAAATCTTAATCTCTATAAACCAAACTTTAATCCTTAGCTCAATAGTGACTAGCTTTGAAATGGAATTATGGATTCTCGGAGAAATTTTGTGGGAAAAAACTTGAGCGGGTCCGTCACTGGCGTTGAATAAATGTTCTGGCTGAAGTAACGCGTTTGCTGTGAAACCTGGATGGTGGATGATTCTGATGGAGTTTTGTTCTCTGAGCTGGATGGTTTGGTCGTGGAGCTTTCATCTTTCTTCTGAACGATGTTCCGGGTTCACCTCTTGACTTTCTTAGATACGTAGGTTTGGGGAGCTTCATGTTCCATCCTCTATTACATCTGATATGACGGATATGAGTTCGACCTAAAAGCCAGGTCTCAATTCACTTGGGAGTGAGCAATCTACAAAACTGATTTCTGCCAATCGTTTATGATACTTATTCATTTTCATTTTTGTTTGATAAAAAAACATATTCTTATGTTTAGTGGGCGTACATCAACAATTCAGTTTAGCTAGCAGCTATCCTACGACAACATTGTAAAATTGCATTCCATCTATTAATTACATAGTAATCATTCAATTTAGTTGTTCGAAACCCGGTCACCAAATAATCAAATCCTAATTCGTAAAAATAATTTTAACAAGGAATGACCATAATCAGATATCCAATTATGAGTGTAAAGTGTTAAAACATCAGGTTCAAAACTTACCAACTGATGACCAATCTCCTAAAATTAACCAGAGTATGTGGTAAGCAGATCAACCCAATTTGTGACGTACCAGATTACAAGGCACTCATCACAACATTCACTTCATATTCATAAAAAGATAGGAACCATAAAAAACCTTATAACTCACCAGATACAACCAAACCCAGGGGTTGACTAGTATCTAAACGATGAAGTACAATTGCAACAGGAGGTGACCAATTTATAGGTTGTACAATGGACGAATATGGAAAAGAGCTGTGAGCAAAACGATGCAAAGTAATACAAACAACATATTAGCATAGTAAAGCGAACTAAGTTGGCTGAAAGTAAAACATAGATACGACATTATTTAAAGGTAAATGCGATCAATTTTTAAAGCGGCTATATTTATCACTGAAAATATTATATGAAGAAAAAATAGGCATTTAATAACCCTTTAGTCACTAAACGTTCCTTAGTTGATATTCCTGATAACTATCTAAAAACTAAATATTTTCTTTAAAAAGCATCTAAGTTATTAATAATTGGATGAAAAATACTGACGAGAATTTAAATGAAGTCTTCTAAGTTCAAACGACGTGACTTATGGATGCGCTCAACTCGATAATGAACTACTGATCAAGAACCAAATTACATTGTGAATCGAGTGCAATTAAAGATGACAACATAAACTTTTGCAGCCAGTCTAAAATCACGACGGCTTCAACGACTAACCTTATTGGCATAAGAAGCTTTGGGGTTCGTTATGCGTAGATCAATATCACTAGTCACGCCACCACCAGGGTTCATACAACAATCCAAATACATGGACTTTCCGATTACTTCTAACGGCTCACCACAAAGAGGGATTCAGACAAAGGTTCATTCAAGTTTTATAAAAGTGCATTGTGTTCAGAAGATACAAAGTATGTGTCATACCTTACAGAAACTGATTGCCAACTGATTAAGTGTTAGTTTACATAGTATGCAAATATCATCCGCATACTCAAGATCGAAGAGTTTTTCTCAAAGTCACAGATCTGTACCATAATCATCACCACCTATTCCCATCTAAGCTTTCTTTCATAATCTCACAGATGGCTAAGTTGGAAAGAAAGGGTAACACTGGCCAACCTTGCCTAACCCCACTGTTGGGTTGGAACAGTAGAGTGAGATGGTTGCATGCCCTCAATCTGCCTGAGGTGTTTGTATACAGAACACTCACGATGTCAATAAATTGCTCACTCATAGCCTACTTTAATAGAATTCCAGAGTACAGTTCTGTTCGATGAATTGAAGGCTATCCTGGAATCAAGAAACACTATTGTTGACCTGCAATAAGTATGGCGGCATTTCAACGTTCGACGTGAAGTGGAAATATGGTCGATGTATCCATAACCTGATTGAAAATTGGTCAGCTCCTTGCTAGTCAGTATTTCACAACCTGCGAAGTATGATGGAAGCTATTAGTCTGAGCGCAACCCCTCTCTAGAGATTGGGAGGCGACGGTTAATTCATCTCAGAATGTTGGAACACCCTCTAATTCGCAAGCTTATCTAAACAACTCAGATAGTTCCCCACCTACTTCAAAAAAGGCCAGGGGCAAACCGTCTGAGTCTAGTGATATATATTTGACGTTGTCCGTTTACCTATCAGGATCTTCAAGATAACTCCTGTTGTACAACAGGAGAAAGATCATTGAAAATAGTTGGTTTAAATAGTTTTTACCCCTCAATATCATTTTGAGTTCATCCTATTTACTTGTTACTCAGATCAAGATCCTTTTTCATGTAACTAATGAGTTAGACTGGATAGAAAGTTCGAGCGCAGGGAACTAGGTTATTGGATATTATTACGTTTTCGTACTGTTACTAAAAAAAATGAATGGGACCTACCTTCTCTGTAAAGAGTTTTCACTCGTTTGATTCAATGTTTTAGATAAACATTTAATTCGATGAGATTCAATAACGGAAGCAGGAAAATACGTTATGCTGAAGAGAACACAATATAACAGAACTGTCACAATAAACTGCACTGTACAAGTCACACTTTAAGGTAATAACAAATTATCAAATAACCACTTAGTCTTCCGTTTTTTATCATAATGTAAAGAAGATAACAATGAAGTGTGTTTTGTTTAATTGGACAATGAGAAATCAAACATTCGAACAGATAGGTCGTATACTACTCATATCTTTTTATGTTAAGTTTAACGCTTATTCTGTACTTTCTTTACGAACTATCTATTTGTATCACTGAAATAGTCGATAACTAGAATCCAGTTATTTAACGTTTGACTCTAAGATATCAAAGAGTTAAACTCGCAATAAAAAATAGGGATCATTACTAGAGTCGCGTAAAAGACAGTCTAATAATAATCTTTTTGGCTCAAATAAAAACAAGCAGTTGTTCGCATCTCATTATTCCTGTTACGGACAATCAGTTTAAATTGATTGGGGAGACTAAAAAGAGCAGTAAGTAGCTGGTTAATAATTGACCTCTCTTTGATAATTCATGAGGAAAGAAATTTAAAGACTGATCACTGATAAGTAAATAATGTCACGTTAGCCAATTCGAAATGCTAATTAAAATGTACTTTCATCTTAACAGTTTAAACAACAGTTTAAGTGACTCAATAACCACATTATAAAACCATACAAATACGGTATGTTCCTGTGCTAAAAAACGGTCGAATTTAACTGATAAGCAGCTGTTACAACGAAATGAGTCCACTAACTCGACCCATCTATGCAGTTATAATTACTTTGGTCAAATTAGTTCGTGCTGAGTCGGTATAACAAATTTTATGTGGAATACTTTTAAAGCTACACATAGTTTTACGATGACAAATTATAAATCTTAATTAAAACCCATTTATTCCTTTAAATACATACGTAAGAAACTAATAAATATCCTGATAAAGAACCAAATTTAAGATAAATAAACACTGAAATTAAATTGTTGACTGACAGATACCAATCATGATTATGAATTTGAAATGAGTAACTAGTTTAATAAGTCAGAGAAACAGTGTAGTGTATTGGGAAAATATATTGTAATAATCTAATCCCCTGTAGAGAATACATACATCAGTTTATTTTAGAATAACCGCCAACTTCGTACAGGTTAAGTATTTTAAGGTAAGCTAGTAGACATTCAGATTGACTTTCAAAAAATAGTGACTATTACAATACACAAGAAACGACATTATTTGTGTACATACGCGAACGCAAGCGCTCAATACAAAACAAGATGGATTCCGAAAGTTGAAATAATAATAGTATTAGAAAGACCAAACCTTAAAGAATAAAGTATACATGGATTGTGACTATGGTATGTTCGTGCACAATGTTAATAATTGGAGACTCCAGCTGGTGAGTCCCAAGCGGGACGAAATGTGCGCCCTGGATTCCACTGCCAGCCATCATCCATCTCCTTTTAAGAATTACCATTTGTATACTATAAGTCAACGAAAGAAATACTAATAGAAAAGAAGGATCTCTCGAAAGTCACACGACAAAAGTATCATCTTTAGAAGTGAATGCATGATAAAAAATTCTCTAAAAGTAACCATGACAAACGGCACTCGATGAAGTCAACTAAGAATACGGCTCGTCATGAACGACGACAAAACAAAGGGTATTTGAATCTATTCAACTAAAAATAACATTTAGTGTTATAGGGTCAATGATATTAAAAACCAAGATGAAAAATTAAATTTAACTACATGATGCAAAGAGATTGAGGGTTTATGGCCTAAATAAACAAACTAGAATATTTTGATGCACAAAAGGCGTTCAAAAAGTTTTGACTCTAATGTGTATACACAAGAGAACTAATTTCACTAAACTGTTGATCGTTTATTTCAAACTACTTGTTAATCGGTTATAGAAATTGAGGCAAAAAATAAACTAAAACACTGACAAACGAAATTAACACAAAGGTAAACCAATTGTTGATATTTATTTAGTAATAAAAGTGAATTGCACAGAGAAATTTTAAAATTTACATAACAAAATAATGATAATAACCACCAAGCTCAGAAATGATGATTGAATAAAAACAATAAAATTTTAGCAATTTATTAAGTAATTAATTTAGCCTATATATTATTATACGGTCATCTTATATCAAACTAATTACAAAGACAAAGAAAGATTACAAATTGAATAAAGTGTCTTACAAATGATTACTTATGCTAACCTAATTTATAGTGTACAGCGAAAAATACCAATCAGTTTTACATAATGGGAACTAATATTTGCAGACTTACTCAAGTACAAATTTATTACGGAGTTTCCAAGAAATTAGTTAATTTTTTTTGGTACTTATCAAAACTGATACCAGTTAGAGTATAATTACAAGAAATAAGGGGACGGGTACTAGACACTTTGTTTCCTGACAGTATGAGACTTATCAATGCATGTTATATATCATAAATCGATGGGCAATAAGATTCAAACCTGTTAGCCTGCAGGGAAATTGCTCGCCGTGAGACTTGGTGGTGATGGGTTTCACCTTTGGCATAGTTATGGTTGCACGCTGATGAGAAGTTCATAACTAGGACGAAACAGCTCTCTAGCGTTCAGTAGTACATGAAACAATGTCAATTCTTAACGAAAACAACAACACAACATTCAACTGACCAATCTGGTTAATATTCGTACAGTTTTAAAACCGACACCTGTTTTTTAAATGTTATTATCCCTTATATAATAATAAGTTATATTATATACCCTTATGGGCCAGGGTAATTTCACATTGCTTTTCAGGAGAACCAGACACCGTCCAGACTTTCACTTGACAACCCAAACAGTACAGCTCAACCTCGTTTAACAGGGTAACCAGACACCGTATAGGCTCTAACGCTACAATCTGATTAGTACAGCTCAAGCCCGTGGCGCCACCATACAGTACCAAGAAACCTGGTGGACCATTCGCAACATTCATATACACATTCACATCACATGTATAGTTATTCCGATCAATGATCGCGTGAATCAATTATGCACAGCACGGACAGGCCAAAGTTGACCTATTCCGCTTACACGACAGTCAAACTCATTAATTTTAGCAATGACGACATGCCTTACAGTGTCCCAATGACTATGACCCTCGAGAACACTGAAAATCAACCACCAATATGAATGAAATCGGTTAACCAGCAAACCAATTTTGTGCATGAACAGTCGAACCATCGACAATACCAATGGCAAACCTCCAGCTTCATATGAGACCTTCAGCTCTGCATAGCCATATAGCTTATACTGCATAAGCTATACGACAAAACATGTGTACACAGAGAGCAGTCGATTTTCAAATTTCTAGATGAAAGTTAGGCTTTCAAAACAGCGAATCTGAAAATTCACATAGAAAACAAAGAGAAACATGTATGACGAAAGGGATTTAAGAAAGTGCATATAGTATGACAAAGATTACTTACTGAATCACAGCTGAATTTTGCGATAGTGAATGTAAGATTTCAAATGCTTTTAAATTGTCTAAATAACGCATAGAAAGACCGTTCAAACTAGTTATATAATCATTTGTGACAAGAACTTGATCACGAGCTACAGCCCCACCACCTAAAACCTGCACGACACGACAACCATCTTGTCCATGACAGGCTAATGCATCTAACTTTAAACCTATAATGAAAAAAAGTAACAACCGAACATATTTCCAAACATTAAAATTTCCAATAAAATAGTATGTTGAATAACAGAGTAACGAGATTTTGAATAAAGTAACAAAGATTTGCAATATGTGACAATATGTACTAGTTCATCATATATTATACATACTGTTCGCGTGTGAGACTGCAAGTCCTGGGTTCAATGACCGGTGGCGACATCGTGGATGAACACTTCTACTGAGGATTCCAACACTAGAACGAAACGGTTAATGATTCAAAATCGTTCGAAAGGGCAGAGATTTATTCACTATTTATCTCTTTTGTATCTTGAGTTCTAGTAGTGCTTTATGCACACCCTTCCATTTTATCCGTTCGAACTATATTCTTAATGTTCATCCTTTCTCATTATCATTGGTGCCCTGTGGTGTGTGCCAGTGATGTCAAGAGATATAAGTAGTACGTATCATCAATCGAAAGTGAAATGTTTGCTAGCAGAAGGTTAAGAAGATCAAGAAAAAGAGAACGAGAACAGAGAGTGATTGGTGTGGAAATAAAGGAACCGTCAAGTCTGAGACAATTGACTGACATTTTGCAAAAGAAGAATTTGCTGCATAGTTCTCAGATTTTACTAAGAGATTCAGTAATTTTGTTTTCAAATACAGTCGGTTGTCCCAACTGGTGTACTCGTTCACTGCAGCACATTATCAAAATCTTCTTTTCTATTCACCTTATCAATTTTTAACTCGTCGTGTTAATGTATAAAAACTTGGGTCAATGTATATTTTGCTAATGACTAAACATTAATTATAACTGACTGTTTCACATCAATGGTGATTTCGACGATTGATGATTTGTACTATAGACAGTATCAGCAATTGCAATTGTAGCACACTAGCACGGATTTTATAAATGATTTGAAGAATCGTTAATTGTTTACTAGAAGTAACGTAGCTAATACATCAGGTATATGTTTACGTACACGGATTTGGGCCACACGTACCTTGTAATCACTACTGATACCACAAGGCTGCAAAACTCAAGTACGCGGAGCTAGACTCAAAACTGTGGATTTTACTTTCACTACACTACTTAGATCTAAAAGCTAACTGACAACTTCTGGCGAACGTAGAAAAACAGTTCAGTGTAAATTAAGCAAACTTACCTATCGGTAAAGATCCACGTTCCAAACGCTCAGATATCTCTAATGTTGGGTCAACTGGAGTGACATATTGCAAATCGGTGCATGTAGTTGAGGATTTGGACAAAGTAATGGTAGTGTGTAAAAATCTAAAGCCTACAAAAGGTATAGGTAGAAATGGCAAAAAGAAAACATTGCAATTTTAATTCATGGTATCAAAAAGGAAATGGCAACGACAACAGCATAGCAATATTGAAACACAATCTATACAATACTTCTGATTTGCATTCAATACCATATCCAAGACGAGGCTGTGATATATCCGATGAGCTGGAATCTGATAGTTACTAAAACTAATTACCGAATGGATTTATAAACAATATAAACATTGAATTCCGAAGAAGCAGTGAGCATCGATTCAAATCACTAGGAATGGTAGATTTTCCTCCCTAATTGACTTCATTACAATAACAATGAACTTTCTAAAATTAGAGTTTTCGTCTCATAGAAAGGGCAAATGTTGCACGGATAAGTAGTATTGTTGCGAAAATCAGCAAAGTATGGTGTGCAATGGTGAACACTGAATTATTTTTTTGAATTCTGGAAATGAGTTATTTTGGATTCAATGAATTACACAAATAAAACAACTACACGCTGTGTGACAATCCAATCCATACAAAGTGAATAGTCTGACTATGAAAAAAAATGATTAAGAGTTAAACAAATAACTAAATTTTCTTGAACAAGAGATTGTTTTCATCAAATGCTAAAAAGGCTAGAAGATTAGGCCACACATTTTACACCAAACAATATTTTAACTAAAGTATCAATTTGCAACGAGAAAATATTATTGTTGATATTCATATATAACTAATTCATGAATAAGCATTGTGAAGAAACCATTTCAGGTTTCATCAAAATACGAAATCATATACAATGACTTCAATAATATTTACATAGTATTCACAATGTTTTAGCAGGTTTTATAAAATTTAGGTTATTAAGTTGACATTAAGGAGGAAGTATAATTTTGCAGTAAGCCTTTATCATCTTATTTGTATGATATATTTCCCTAGGTCACAAAAATAAAGTCAAGGAAAGTTGTTATCTTTCCACTATTTGTTTACTACAGATCTGGACTTTGTCCTGTTTTTTTCCGGTGTGTTAGCTCGTGTGTTTTTTAAGATCAAATAAATTATCAATAATAAACGTCTTTCCGTGACAACTCATGTTTTGGCCTCTGCATATTCTAGATATAACCTTAACAACGCTTAGAGAATAAGGCAATAGATAAATACACAATGGAATGGTCAATAGTTTACAAAGTATTCTTTTACGATTATGATTTTGAAATAGAAGTATCATATTTATAGTACATAGAATTTAAGGTAAATTATCACTGTAGATCATATAAATGATAATAAAAGTGTGAACAGGAAAGAAAAAATTTATATTTGCTTAGAAAAATATCGTAAGATAGTATATAAAAATAATAAGATAGGTAATAAGAGAACAATAGTCGACCATCGTGCCTAAACAAAACCACTATGATATCTTAATGAAACCATATATTTAAGTGACTAGATGAAAATATATAAGTTTGTGCAGGAGTATATAAAATAAGACGAGATGGCAGAAAAATGATTCGGAGAAACACTCAAGAATGATGTTATTAAACTTTTAATTATACACAGAGTTATTCTCTGTGTAGCAATTTACAAGGGTTATCAGATTTACAAATAAAATAAGCTTTGAGTATTGACATAAAAAGAGAAGACGGAAGATGGAATGGACCTCAACTGTATTCGTGATCATCAGCTATAGTTTAGAAAAAAGAAATGTCTTGCAGCAGGCATCTGTGTGCAATCTTATAACTAAGTACTATAGGTAATAATATAAAACTGATGCGTTCATAAATTGTACACTATTCATTTCAAATAAACGATTGAAACAGATTGGGTGATATTGTGATAATATCTATCCCAGAATGTCAAAAGCATTTGAACTGCATCTATGAGACACTGGACAGTAACTAAGTATCTTTTATTAGATAGAGTATAAAAACTTAAGGTGAACTAAAATATGTAAATCAATTACTAAATAAAAAAGGATTGACTGTGGAATTTACAGCATGTGAGTGTTGTGCAAAAAACAGAAATTTACGCTTGATCTTGTACAGAGTATGAAGTGTTGAAAAACTAGCAGAAAAACTGATGTTCAAAAGTTTTTTAACCGATGACGAAAATAACTAGTAGGTAGGATGTTATAATTTCGCTACACATACTACTGGTTTGGTTAGCTGAGTCACTCGTTATCCACCACATACAAAAATTGTATCTTTCAAGCCAAGTGCATTACATTAACGTATATTTGGTAAATAGATTACATTCAATATTATCATTTTTGAATGCAATAGTGTTATGTAGTATGATTTTATGGACTAATTTTTGGTTGTTAAAATAAAAGGAAAAAATGCTGATCGATAGATGACAATCGAGTTATACAACATCAAGGCATTTTTGTACCATGGATGTTTTAAACTGAATTGTTTAGTAATCACTGAGACGTATATACTGATTGGATTTCTAAGTTCAATTTTCAATCTTATAAAACTGATGGAATACTTTATGAAAGCTTTCCAATCAGATGAGATCAATAGGAATCATTCCTCCTATAATATTATTTCATTATGTTACACTTAAACTATATTTTCCGCTAACTTTTTCTCCGTTACAGATGAAAAAAGAACTTAGAGGAAAACGAAAAAGAGAATATTGAACATATTCTCTGAAATGAAACAAGAAAGCACAAATACAATAAAGGGTCAACAGAAATTAGTGCAGTCTTAAATTGATAAATATGTTCAGAGAGTGTGTTTGTATAATGGTGTGTCGCCACGATGCAATGTACATACATACACCTTACTCTTTCACATAAACATAATTCAACAGCATTTTAGTGATTACATATATATGGACAAACACATGGTGGCTAAAAACCAATTCATCCATTACCCAAGCATTATATATCAGAAAACTAACATTCTATAAACACAGAAGAAACACAAGAATAACCAAATGAAAGAGGACTGACCACATAAGGATAAATGTTGAGAATAAGGTCAATAATGAAAAATAAAAACAAATTGGAAATAAAACAAAAAATCAGAACATAAAAAAAAATAAATATGGTAGGTATTTAGAAGTCGATTAAAACAGTCGATTTCATAAAGTAATTAATTGAAAATAGCAATAATAAAGGTAATGACTATTATTATCATTTTTATGCAAATGGTAAATACAAGTAAATTTCTTGACACAACGTAAATACTTTAAAAGTTCGATCGTCAAGATACATAATAAATCTAAAAAATACTCCACTGGAAAGTTGATAGTTATGATCAACATTAGTGAAACTTAGGATTTTAAGGTTTTCTAATTGGAAGAATACAGTCTACAAGAACTAAGGTTTCTCTTTTTGCGAAATTCAATCACCATGCACACTACGGCTTTGCTAACAGCAGATATTACAAACAGTAATGCGTGGAAATCACGAACTGACTGAAGTTTTAAATGTGGACAGCTGAATGTCAAATGAATGGTATAAAATAAAAAACAGTTACAGCGAAACTTGAAAATTGTGAGTTAGATACCTGGAGACTACTAGTGTGAGTTCCCGATGTATGCCATACTAAAACAAAACAACTACATAAACCGCCCAAGTTTGATTGGTTATTTAGCTAATCTACGTTATGAACAGTTTTTCTCAAATTGGACAATTTCCACAAACATTCTTTTCAAATAAACTTATTGTAATCATAAGTGCCGATGAATTATCATTTTATGGTGTTTGGACTGCCGACTGTAATGTTACAATGATGTCATGCTCGAGTTCCCCTTATCATGATGGCTCAACCGAACTATGATGGAAGGAACAAATGTTTTTTAGGTCCTATCAGGCCATATAAGATACTTGTAGAACAGGGCGCCCAAACCAAAGCATGTCGTACGTCCATGATGTCACTGATAATCGGACTTAGCCATGCTTATAGGAATAAACTACCTGGATGTGGTCTGTATGATTACTGAAGTCAGTGGTTAGATATTTTGAATGACATGGCTTAAAATCGTTCGCAATGGTGCAGGTGGATTCATTCTTTGTCTTCCTCTAAATTCTGAGTTTCTTAATTCCTCATGACCGTTTCTGTGTGTTTACTACTTTATATTTTATTCTTGAATTGTATCATCAATGTCTAATCTTTCCTATTACCACTGATACTGTTACTAATCAACTATTCTGAGATTTAGCCTGATAACTTTATCTCTCTGTGCTAATAGGGTAAGGCAACTTGAACCGATGTACATACGTACCGGTTCTACGTTGTGACTGACTGGTGGCTGAACCAGTTAATCATTTCTTAAATAAAATTTAGTTTACAAGACTAGTACTTCACAATTATAAACTGACTGGGTACAAAAAATTACAGCGGTAATTCAATACAAAGTATACTCAGAAAAACAATATACCTCTAGGCTTGTTGAATGCTTTAAGTTTAGACATATGAATTTTAGTCCGAATGAACCGTAACTGTATTTCATTCAATGACTTTTTAATACACCGAATAAACGAATATCAAAAAATGTTCCGTAAACAAGTAAATTATAACTCCGCCTGGAGCTGCTCTGAGGCTAGTAAAACATATAGCACTAAATGTGGAAAAACTGAAGATGCAGTACAATCGACACTTATAGAAAAATAGCTGAAAGCCAATCGTGCCAAATAATAAACTACGGCTCGGAATTTTATTGTCACTACCATCACAGATGATGGACTGGAAGAGTGGACAAAAGGATATTTTAAAAAAAACTAAGTAAGCATCAATTTTATACATCTTGAAAGTTAGAAAAAGAATTTACTCACTCATAAGATTGACATAACGAATAGTGGCTCATGAAGCACTTAAGCGTACAATAAAAGGTGTAACAAGAATCGTGTGTAGAAACGAGACCAAAGTACGTTGAAAAGTAACGAACAATAACACAAATACAGAAATAAACTTACCAAATCTTCAGTTCCAGTTGCATTGAGACCATTCTGTTAAAATAGAATTGTGAAATAAATTAAAGACTTCATATCACAAGATATGTGTTCATTCATGCTGATAATCACTAATTCATGCATGAAAGCAATATCATAAAAATAGGACAACAAACGATAAACGACTAACCAGAAAACAATTTATGATGCAAAACTTGCACATGATCCTCACATTTTGATCAATAAAGATATTGAAACGAGAGCAAAAAACTAAAAGTTACTCATAGGATAAGATAATATTCATGTGCTTTGTCAATACAAGATGTGAAAAGAAATAAAATAAATGTATTATATATTACAAATTGGATGATTATTGAGTGCAAACTGATTTATCGCTCGAAACTAATCCCACATAAGCAACCAATAAGAAACAGCGAAATTTCTTAATTGAATTTAAAGATTGTTTTCCTGACGAATTAACACTATCAGGAGAACCAACAGGAAGACAATGAATGTAGAATAATCGTTTCAATCAACTTCAGGACTCCTTAGCACACCGGACCGCTGGCTCTGTACGGGATCGAATACTCTGTGCCATCGATTACTTTAGTAAGGAAGATATCAGTTAAGAAAGGAATATGGTTTCACACTTTACAACTCCAGTTAATCTACAATATAGCGTGTGTCACTTAACCTCATTTGAGGATAAGTGCCTCACTCCTTAAATAATTAGTCTCAGCTATTTACCAGAACATGAAAGTATATAATTAGGTTGATCGTTCATGGGGATTTGTCCATGCTAAGTTACGGCATGAGCTCACTCAGTCATACGCACACTTATATGCTCAAACAAATTGCAGAATAATTGAAAACAGATAGTAGGTGACATTTATTTCATGGTATTTTGTGGTATTTCAACAGTGATCATACACGACACTACAAATAGGATAAAGCCTATAACTTTCAGGTTTTAAGGGAAGAACTACTTAGTTTATAACCTGAATTCCAATTTTCTAGCTTCTCATCAGCTACTAGATATCAGAACAGTTATGATGAAAAAACGAGCATTAAGGAGTAACAGTTTAGCTGCTAATAAGGTTTTATTACCTGACTGACCGAAACAAAGCTAAAAATAACATTGTATCTGTTTGAATTATGACAATATTTTCACATATATATATATAACAACCAAAGTCTTGTAAACTTGTGTATAGATTGAAAAAGGAATGTAGGAAACGTAAAATATTACTGACAGAAGAATTCTATTGTAGTGTATGTATGAGTGGACAGAATTAGGAAATGACACACATACACATGCCCATCAGTAACTGCTTCGTCATACATCTACATCATCAGAGCAATAAAAGAGCAACTATTCGATGGAACATATCTTTCAACAAAACGGGGTTATAATGAATAGGTGACAAACTCAAATCAGAGAAAATAAACAACACAGTTTATGCAAAACAACAGAATGACAACATGGTAAACTGACCAATAAATGAGTATATAACGAGCAAAAAATCCCTCAGTAACAGTTTAGACATTATTTTTGTCTTTATTCACGATCATGCAGTATATTAATTAAGAAATGCTACAAAACGAAAACATTAAATATTCAAAAAATTCGAAGCATTTGAGAAATATTGAATGAGAAGACATTAATAGAAGTTCTATTACAGGTAAACTGTTAGAAATTAAACTTTAATTTAATAGGAAAATTGGTGCACAAAAATATACTCAGCTAATAATGAAGTGTGTAGTAATTTGTTAAAAAGCACACAAATACTGACCAGGAATGCTTTACTCGTGAAATATAACACGCCAAGAGATCAGAGACATGATTAACCCGTATTGCTATGTCGTGAATATATTTAAAATTTCAAAGAACTAAAGATTTGAGGCACTAAAAATTCATAGTAGAACAATGACATACTGGTTTTCATTCCGAAAATGTACAAGAAAAGCAACAGTAACTGAGAGATTGGGTATTAAAGGGAAAAAGTTCGTTATTCAAACACAATAGTTCTAGATTTTATTTACATGCAGTATAGTAATGGTGACTAAATTACAAAGATGAACAACGACTACAGACCTTTATATCAAGCTTCTCATGTTTTTCATCTATACGGTTTGTAAGTTGATTGTCCAGGATAGCATGATTATCATGGCTTCCAGATCGGTGTCGGTGACGACTATACTGGTGAGATGTTGAAGAAATATTCAGACGTTCACCAGCAAAACGTGACTGTGAAGCATCATGATCATGTTCAATAACACAACAATCCCCCGAATTATGATTATCAACTATCTTACCGTTATTACAACTAATACTACTATTACTATTATTCGCATGCTCATTGGACCCGGTTGATTTTGGTGATGAATAACAACTATGAATGAAAAGTGACTCGAAGCGTAAATGATTGAACTCATGATGATCAGATTCAATGGATGAAGACATAGTTTTTGGATGGACATAAGGGGAGAGAGAGACTGATGAGCTTGTAGATAAATCGCACTCTGTTTTTACATCCTCTTCTTCATCATTATCGTCAGTTTTATCATTTCCTATGATGATGGCATTATTATTATTATTATTATTATTATTATTATTATTATTATTATTATTATTATCCATTTCTCCATTTGAATACAAATTATCAACATTATTATGACCATTTTCGTCCGAGATAAATTGGAATCTATAGTAACTACTCAATTTACTAGATGCAGAACACCATTCGGATCCATTATTTACATCTCCACTCTGACTAATATAAGGTAGTTGGTATCTATTAAACACTGAAAACTCTCTACTCTTTGAAGTTAATTCAATTATGGATGCTTTAGCTGGCGTGGAAATATGATGCGGAATAGTGGATGATGTAACAGAAGAATTACATAATCTATCATTATTGGTATTTTGATCTTCCAAGTATTTCAAAGCTTTTAAAATGGATTGAATAACAAGTTGATCGGCTAAATATTGAGTACTACTAGCATTGTTGTCAGTAGTGCAATAACTACTTCTAGAGACCAATGATGAAGTAGAGTGATGATCAGTAAGAATTTGATCTACTTTACCAGCACCTAATCTGTTATTATTGCTATCATCAACGTTAACGTTCGAAGATGTTAAGAATCCAGAAATCATAGATTGTGTCCATGACTGACTTGAATCTGCTGTTCCTGCTTTTGTCGATGGCGTTGGTGAAATGAACCGATTCCGTTCGGTAGTCGAATTTGATCTCATTGAATCCTCCAACACTTCGTAATTAATTAAATCCACTGCTTTTTGGACGATCTCATGCACTAAATGAAGAGGTAACTGATTGACGTTATTGGTATTTAGACACTTCTGAATATCGTGGATCATATGACTTTGTCCACATTCAGATAATGTACACATATGGTAAGAATGATGACGATGGAAATAATATTGATTGCTGTATTTTCCTAACTGCTCAACATAACTATAACTTTTACACTTTTGGTGTGTAGAAGAAAGATTAGTTTCCAAAAGTAAAGGGTTCAGATGATTAGGTGTTGGTGATCTCGGACCACAAAAAGATTCACTTTGTTGTTGCAACTGATCCAAACTATTTCCAGTAAACAAGCCTTTATTTATGGAAGGCATACGATATTTATCATAATTATTACCATTATCGGTAAAACTTGCACGTAAAGTAAATACTGAATCGGGTAGAGGCCTTTGTAAAGAAGGACATGAATAAACAGTACGCATTAAACTCCAACTGAAGCTATCAAAGCATGCAGTTATACCATGCCTTGACTAGATTGACCAAAATAAAACAATTATATATATATATATATATATATATATATATATATATATATATATATATATACGTTAATGTGTGCACAACAACCATAAACACCATTGCATATACCCACGAAGAATGGTCATCGTCGTAAAATTTTATTATTCCAGGAGAAGTGGCGAACAGGAAAGAAAATAAATACAGAAAGTACAATTAGTAATTATACGGTACTCGTGCAAACTTTTCAGTTAACAGTACTTTAATACTACAGCGATCATGTTCGCCTGTTTTGTTTTACTCTATCAATCGCCAACATGTCACAATGATTATAAACCAAACAGTTAAAGTCGAAAGGTCAAAGGTCAAACAAAGGCTTTACTTTAGTGTAAAAATCACTAGCAGGAAACATTAATACTTGTTTTATGACTTGTCAAATAAAAAAATGGAACTCAATAAACCATTTACAGAGGTTTGTATCATTTCAGAAAAGCACGGCGCACATGCGTTGTGGATACAAGCCCACTTTTAGACAGCTAAGAAATCTCACCTTCACCCAGTTGTGTACGCAAAAAAGTATACAACTCCCTCCAAACCACCATTGCATTGATCCGTATCTACGATCGACTGGATGCATGTGAAATATTAGGGTATAATACGATACAAGCTACATTAAAAGTTAATTTGCATACAGAACAGTGAATCATATCACGCAGTGTCCTGGTCCTAAACAATTTCTGTTACTAGTTGAAATTACCCTTTCAAATTAATCACATCAATTTAAAATTTTCACCAAATACAGTCCTAGTAACTCAGTTTTCAGTCACGCTACTTATATGACAGTTAATGATTAAAACAGGCTACTTAAACCACAGTAATTGGAACATAATGCAAAAATAGTTGGAAGTCAACTGTTTCAATCATAAAGCCACGGTTTCACAAAAATTATCACAACCTTCAATATCGTGTATGTATGATATGGATATATAAAAGGTGTACCTACTGAAAAAGATAAGGAACTCAAAATAACATCGGTAAAATTAGACGCATAGTCAGGTGAGTTATGAAGACTTTGTTGTGGATGCGCAGGAATAGACCAATAATTATCATGTTAAGTTCAATGGTGTCCTTGGACTTTAAATGGACATTTCCTATTGGTCGATATCTGTTCACTTGTTGAATATTGTACAAAATGTTGTTTTCTATTTTTATGGTACGCTGTGGTATGCTTGACTAGTATATAAACAAAGTATGTTTGAAATGTAGTGATTCATATCTCAGAGATTGTGACTTGTGTTCTGGACTCAACTAACTGGGCTAGATAGGGAAGCGAGACCAATAGAGACTCTAGGCCGTCCGTACGTGTTTACGTGTCATTGAATCGATCGATAAGTACGCTGCTCTCTAATTTTCCAGTCAAGGACACAACAATTAGCACAGGGTAAAAATCGACCCACAACTTAAATTCATAACAGACTTACACCACAAATGCAACGGTTCAGTTACATTCACACAATCTATCATCCAATGAGTCGTCCATTTTCTTTCCTTACTGAAAAATTTACAGTGTCAGTGGTTTTCGTAATATTTAATTTTCCCATGTATGCCCTTCTGAAACAAACTAAAATCTATCCCAGTAATATGCCGAGTACAATAATACTGATTTATTACAACAGAGATAAAAATAGTTAATGAACAGTATATTATTTAAACTGCATTTGATTGGATAGCCAAAAAAGTGAACGACTAGGTAAGAGTAAGTTGAATCTTTGAAGGGAGGAATATGTGTGAAAAATATGGAAAATAACGAAGCATTCAAGATTTAAAGGGGGAAATTTAGAAGTCATCGGCCCACTGGAATAAAAAAAACTAAGCCTTGAGTAAAGTAGATTAAGAACTATCAAACTTCATTTTAGTTTAGGTAATGTTGATAGAAGATTGTTTATCTCAGCCAGCATGATAGTACCAATAGAAAGAGTAGCGTCTCGCCATGCAAAATTTACGCCGGAAGAAATTATTTTCCGATAAAATCCCAAAAGCTGATCGAAAACTTGGTTCTCTTACGTGTAATCTTAAGACTTCTCGTTCAGCACAGTCTTATAACATACAGGAGCAATTATAAATTTGGGTATTAAACAGAGCTCACATAACATAAACAATAAAAGATATGAGCACAATGAACTTAAAAACACCATGTTATAATACTTACCATAATCGTATTATTATCGTCATTATCGATAGTGCTATCACCAGTGTTTACGTGTAATGGATATACTAGATCAGACTTAACACTGATCTTTTTCATTTCACCAGTATCTGGAAACATGCCAATCACAGAAGGTCTAGAAGAGACAACAGGGTATGGCAATAGTAACTGTTGTTGGCTTTTTTCATGAATGTCATCTGTTTCATTTGATTCTAACTGCATTTTTGCAATACCAATTAAACATGGTCCATTAGGAAGGGACTTTAGTGTAGTAGCGGCCTCAAATACACTAGATTTCATTAAATTTTTATCATTAACAATAACAGCCTGTCGCCGATTGATATACGTCCATCCAACTGTGCAATACCACCTGGAGTTAAACTGTCAACTAATAAGATACCGTGTGATTTGGAGCGACTAGACCACGTGGATCTTCGTTTCAATCTACTGGAAGATTTGGAATTCTTACCAGGTAACGATGATAATGATGCAATGGTAGATCCGGTAGAATAATAGGAATGAAATGATCGACGATCAGATTCAATCATATTAGAACTCCTTCTATCAAGTGAAGAAGCTTTACGGAGTGTACTGCCTTCTAAGTCAGTAACAGGTAGTTCCTATAAAGATGTGGATATAAGAAACAACAATAAGTGTTATTTTCGGACACTGTTAGAAATGGACCAAAGAATTAGTAACAATAAAATAAATCATTTACATGAACGCATATAGTGGTACAACATAAAGGTATAAATAAACATTTATTTGTGTTCTGATCATCACCTTAAGTTCACTTGGAAATCCTTTACAGTTACTGCTGGTCAGAAGCAAGACTGTGAAGAGAAAATTAGGAACAAACGTTGGAGGTAGATAGGGTGCACACTGCGAAAATCATCAAACTGAATTACGGGGCAAGCCCTAACTTGAAAACCCAAGGGAAAAGTGCCAGACCAAAATACACACCGTGAATTGAAGGTTGACACCAAAAGAATGAATAGCATCCGGAAACAACTGGAGATAAGAGTTGGTTGCTAGTTCCTGGTGTCGGCTTATGCCCGAATAGCGCTGAGAGGCTTAATTAAACAACTAAGTCCTTTATCATCAATTTTCCGTAATCATTAAATATGTATACATGTAAATTTCTGTTCAATAAAACTCACCTCATATTCAGCTATACTAAATCCAAAACCATGGGATGTTTTATTCAGTTGAATAATTAAAGGCACTGAAGACCAACATGGTCGTTTAAAACCGTAACGAGGATCAATACGATTTGGTCGATTATGATGATAATGTGGTAGAGTTTGACAACGGCGATGATCGTGTTGTTCAGTAGATTGTTTTTCCATACACACTTTACCAGATCTTGATATTGGTAAACGCCCTAAAGTCCTAGAATGCATTTGTGTCTCTGACCGCTGTATTGTACTGGGTAATGAATATTTACGATTGTTTTTCATTGTATTTACTGGATACTGTTGTTGTAATTTACTAGTGTAATTCGGATTTACATAATTATTGAGGGGGTGCTAGAAAATCAATGATTAAAGGAAAGTGTGAATTAATTACTGTAACTAATTTACGAGATGTAGGTATAGATATACGTATTTAGCTTTGGTTTACATTGTATTTAACTGTTAGGGTCAGTGATACCACCTGGCTTCCAAAACTGAACCTGGTTCAGCAGGGTCAGTGCCTGAGACCTAAGAAAATGTCAATTGCTCTAACTATTCGTTAATCACTTTAATTGAAAAGAAGATACTAAACATATACACCTAATTAGCAAAGCATACATAAATGAAATATAAACAATTTTAATCCGACGGTTCAATGGATTTTTCCAGCTTTGGATATGCAGATACATATTGAGAAACATCATTGATATTATTCTTTATGCAAAGAAAGGTATCTCTATTCATCTTCAAAGAACAAAGTTTATCTGGTTTTCCGGTATTACATAGGCACTCGCTACTTTTGCTACAAAACTAGGCATTAGACGTCAAAATATACCTGTATTATCCGTATGAGAGGGTTGGTAGTAAAACCTAATTATAAATCTAGAAATAGGTATATGTCTTTGTTAATATACTATTAAAAGTCTAAAGATCATAGTGCTTTACAACGATATTACAATAAGGAACGACTACAATGATTTGGGAATTATTGATAAATTTTGAACTCTGCAGACTTTAAAATTATATTCGAACTGATTCCGAGTTTCATTATTTTGCTTGATTTTCTCAACACTTTTGATGTAACTTACACTTTCTGTGCAAAGACTACTGGCATACCTAACTATCATGTTTGTTAAATATAAATTAAGCCGTTTTAGAGCACACCTGCTTGGAACTGATTGAATTAACCACTAAACCATTTTATGGTCGTAACTATTAATCATGACCTTAAAACGAACGTTGGACAAACCGTAGTGACTGTTATTTCATTTGTAAGAGTTGTTTAAATTAGAGACCAACAAAGACAGTGGTGATCATCTTCGTCTAGAATATTGACAAATCGCAGAATACAAATGCATTTCCTTGAACAAAAAATAGGTTTATTGTTTTTGACATTTTATTAATTCACAAAGATGAAATTAACTAAAGTGAACGAAACACGGGGGATGAGTAAAATCGACGGAAGACTACGACTATGTAACAGAGATTTCGACGGTTTGTAAAATTCAACACGGTCATATTAAGTATTCTGACCATGAAATAGCTACACTAACAACTACAGTCTCTTGTAGTCCATCATTACAGACTTCACTAATGATGCACTTAGTTTCTTAAAATGGCACTCTTTAAAATTCCTGCTATAAGACCAGGTCATTTGAAAAGATGTGCAACACAACATCTAGTTTTAACAATATTTACTGGGTGCTGCCACAACAGATTTTTGTGATAGGGCTCAAGTTACAGACTTTTTACACACAAATAACTTTAGTTAAGAAAAATAATGGACCGATATTGAAAATAACCAATGGATGATGAACAATTCTGGCTGTCAATACCTCCAATCCAACGATAGGTGACTATTTTGCCAATAACAACAGAGTTATTAAATAAAAATGAATAAAAGCACAGGAAACTAGTTGCCAGAATCAATGATAATAGATTAATAATAAAAGGTTTTATAGAAGTAATTATATGAATTTAAATTCAAGCAACCAAATAGAAACAGTTGAAACTGAATGTTATGATTAAAGCATAGTGTTATGTCCCGATAAGAATAATGAAAGGTAATTTTTGGGATCCATTTATGGACCAATACTAAACGTATATTTTTATCGTGTAATTGTTATGTAACTAAACTGTTCATATTCATGTCCCTCTTATTATGAGTTTCATTTTGACCTATGAACTATTATTATACGATTTACCATTCTTGAATTATTCCCCGTCTATTAATTACTATCTCCCTCATTCACGGTCACATTTTGGCTAATTCTTGTATAAATGTTGTTTCACATTTTATAGTACGTTGTGGTCTGTCTGGTTGAGATATAAACCCAGTACGCTTAAAAAATAAATGATTCATATTGCAGAGGCTGAGATTGGTGTTCTGGACTCAACTGGCTGGACTAGGCGGAAACCAGGACTAATCAGGACTCTAGGCTGCTCGCACGTGTTTTATACGTCACTGGTTCGATCGATAATCCACTGCTCCCTAATTGGCGGTATTGTTGCGTTATACAATAAACAGGGCACACAAGTTCACAAGTTATAGCACATATACTTTAATCAGAAGCGAGAAAAACATTTTTCAAAAGACTAAATAAGTGTCAGCAGGAGAGAAGGTAATGGTGAAACTAGCTATTACCTAACATTATGCTTTAAACAGGTGTACAAATCGAATCTATGCGGTTTTCAAGGTACAATAATGCATATAAAAAAACACATTTTCTGGGACTCTGCCAATCTTCTCCAGGTTAAATATGTATAACTGACAAGTTACAAGTAGTCACGGTTTGTACATAACGACTAGCGATACTATCGTTTCCTCATACAAACCGCCAATGGTCAAGAAAGATTCAAAACCGTTACAACTAGTGATAAACATTACAACACTGATTTGTGCAGTTGTGTATTTCTAAAAGCATATAGTGAAGTTTACCAAACCTTAGACAATACATGTTGGTAAGCGAACAACGAAAAGTACTTTAAACCATATTATTACCACGAGCACATAGTCAGTGGAAACACAACGCATATCTCAGATTTCTATCACATACTGGGTTAATTCTTTCCTCATATTAAAATGTTTTAGGAAAAGGAAGAGTTACGGCCGTTATATCACTGATATACTTCAGCAGTATATGTATAGACAAGTAAAAATCGCCATCCACCTTATTAGAATGCACCATGAAAACATTCAGTAAAATTAAGTAACTACATTCACTAATTTAGATGATCAATTTAGGAATAACAATATAAAGATTCGTTGGCAAAAACATTGCTAGAAACACTTTTTTTTCTGAATATTGGAATGCTAGTGTTTTGTACTTTAAACAGCAGAATATTGTCGATTGTAAGTATTCAGCTCCAAAACCGATTAATTAATCAGAATTCAAAGCACTCTAACGTGTAGTTTTTGAACAGCTAAATACTCTCAAACAGGCGAAAAACCAGCAGAAATAAACTACATGAAAGCATGAAACTACAGTAATAATAAGTCAACTGAAATTAAAAGCAATTTCACTTACAAGAAAGAAAAGCTAATTAAGATTAAGAATGAGTGATTATATATATATAGCGAGGGACTTTCAAGTTCATGTATCCTGGTACCAATAAAAACTTTCTGTTATAAATATAGAACATGCTATTTTACTGCTAATAGACAACAGTGAAATATTTAACCTACTTTTAGGTAAAGTAAGAAACAACAGTAGTAGAAGTAAATAAACCAATCAAAACTTGACAGTCAGTACAATTCATAAGGATAAAGCACAAGTAGATATGAATGTACATAAAAATAAGTACTTTTAAATGACTATTAAGTGAACATAAACATATTAATATTTCAATAACTTTGATTATTTCTTTAACACAATCTATTGAAATTATATTTCAACAACAGTAATAATAACGATATGGATAAACAAAAAGCATAAGAGTTCCTTTGAAGTACGGTGTTCTCAAAAAATTTAACATCTCATATGTAATTTAAACAAGGAACCGTTGAATAACCTTTTTCCTTGTTCAATACTTATCAAGAAGGATGAGAAAATGGCCCCACAGTGACTACCTTAGTAATGGGTTTCTAGATACCTAAATGAAACAGTGACCTTTGAGTCCAATCATACTGAGTGAAACAATCATTATCCATGACTTTGAGTGACAGTCCTATTATATATCAACTGAAGTTGAGGATATGGACCACCATATTCCAATTAAATGATCTAAAAGTGTTTAGTGTAGAATAAAGGGTTCCCATCGATAAAAAGCTGCAAACTAAAATGACCTTCAACTCAATCTTGTACAGTTCAGAAAACTTTCATAAAGACCAAAAATGTCTAATATTGGTAAATCTTATACTTTCAAGCTTTTATTGTGATAAAATGCAGTTTATAAAACGTAGTGTTATATGTAGTTAATATTTTCAACGTTCATGTTTGAAAACTATTCATTCATTATACATGGTATCATAACTGGGATGCTGAAAGTTTCATGCTAACCAGAACTATTAATAAAGCTAAACCATTAAAAAGAATTAGATGGTAGACGTCTAAATATTTCACAAAATATTCAAAGAAAACTTATTAGTAAGTCATAGAAACCAATAAAAATAACAACAAAAACTACACTGAAACTTCATCAGGTAGGCAAAGTGACCTTAAGGAATTTCAAGTGATTTTTTAACAAAAAGAACACGAAGTGTATACACATATTCGACTGGCTGAGGAAAAAACCAGTGAACAAAAACTAATAAACATTTAGGTAAAAGTAAAGTGTATGGACGAGCCAATTACAAACAAGGAACCGACTTTTAGGTTTTCAGGCAAACTTCAAAAATTACATGGAATTAGCAGAAATACCGTTGTATAGTCCTTAAAACATTTGAAATGAAAACGAAAAATCACTTTTGTCATCAGAGTAAAAATGATAATGTTAAATGTATCAAATACTTAATTCTTTCTATGTAGATTTTACATAACAGGTAAATCAACACTATTCTTTAATCGTGAAACAAACCTTAGTCTAATGGTAATATAATTTTAAAACGAATTAGTCCGATCTGGCTTTTTGCGCGAAATCCATACATCCCTGTGACTAATAAGCACTTTCCTATTATAGATAACATCGATTGGTGATGATAGTGCGAACCTAAACCAGTAGTCCTAACCCTAACCAAGGACGATATAGGGACTTAAAAGACTCTGGATCATTATAAGAATTCGAGAAGTCCGTCAGTCAGTAACAACGTAGAACTTCGTACGTACGTACATCAGTTCGAGTTGCCACACCACATTAGCACAGAGATGCAGTTGTCGATTCAAATCCCGTAGTGGTAGAGGTGGTAAGAGTATAAG